CCCGAAATTACACATGTTCTTCGTCGAATCAAGAAGGTTCCAGAGTGGCAATTCAAAGACAATTTTCAGAGAACTCTGTAATAGCACGTGCTGAGACAGAAATAAAACGTTCTACAATGCACTCGAACCGTTTGAACTTTCGGGTGGTACGTGAGGAGAAAGAAAAATAAAGACCCCTTTGTTGCGGTTTCTATTCAAAAAATTGTTAATCTCTTGTCTTCTCCGAATGATGAGAGAATAACAAAAGCGAAGAACAAGATACGGCAGAGTAAACATTGGGAATGGAAAAAATAAATAAAAAATTGCGACAACAAATTGCTTTTTGGAGATTTCTGTTTGAAATCGAGTAACAAATGTGAAGGGAAGCATAAATTTCTTTTTTGAAACTCAATTTTTCGCTGAGAAACAGTAAAACTTGCGATTTTTGGATGAAAATGTAGGAAAAATATCGATAAATTTTAGTTTTCAGCGAATTTTCTCGTTTCTTTCATTTTTTGCAGTTTTAACTTCACTTTTTTCGCCAGTTTTACGTTGATTTAACGAACATGAGACGGCGGAATATGAGAATCGACAGAATGAACATGTTTCGGTGATTTCGGAGCTCAAAATTCTATCGGAAATGACCCGGCGCTGCACTACGAGAACACGAGTCTCGTACAGCAATTGCACGGATTAATCCTCGCGTGGGTCGACTTCCCAGAGAGGTGTGACGCAATCGAGAACATTTCCGGGAACGAGGATGGAACAGACAATTTTTATCGTTTCATTATCTCGAACATCAAGACAAACTGCAAACCCACTTCCCCAAACAAACAGAAAAAACTTTTTTTTCTCCCCGATGAAATTCTCCTGAACATTCATATTCTGAATAACAAATTTGCAGCGAAGAATAAATTGCCCCGCAAAAAACACAGTCGACAAATATTATTCGCATCCACGTGATATTTTTACGAGCAAAAAAATTCCTGAGGAGAAAAAATTGCTTAATCATCGAATTTTTCAATTAAGTTGCGTGAGGAAAACTCTGTTTGTTTTTGTTTGAATTTGTTCCGCTTTTTTATAGACTGTTTCCTTGTAAGTAGCTTATTGGAATTTTCGGAACTTTTGGAAGTTTTTTCTCACATGAAATTAATTTTTGGCAGATTCTAAATGTGAAAAAATTGCAACAAATTGAGTATTTATTCGCAAATTATGAATTAGACTGATTTATAAAAAGAATGTCATCTTCAAAAATCGCAACCCTTTCGTCATTCAAAAGGAATTAAATTCCGATGTTCAAAATTAACATGATAAAGAAAAAAAAAATTCCAACAATTTACGTATTTAGACTGTGATATCTCATTTTACTTAATTTAATGTGATCTCATTCCTTCGAACCTCAACAGTTCCCAATTGAAAGAAAGAAAGAACCCCGAACAGAAGTAAACAATAACACAACCTTGCCAAAACACCCCTGAAATTCCCCGAAAATTCCCGACTCTCCCACTAAATCTCTCTTTATCTGGCCACCACGACTCGAACTATAAAAACTCGAACTAAATATGAAAAAATTTGTTGAAATTATTATCAACAATTTATGAACAGGAATAATTTACGAAAAATCCCGTTATCTTCAAAAATCGACAACTGTCCACAATTTTATAAATCATGCTGTAAAATTAGACTTCAAAAGAAATTGAATTCCAATCTTCAAATTTAATATAATGAAAACAAAAACCTTCCAACAACTCACGTATTTAGACTAAGCCATCTCATTTGTTTTCTATTTCACCCAATTTTTTTCTTCAACTGTTACACGAAAAATTTACAAAACGAATTTAATGCCTTCAAAGTTAACATAATCACAAAAAATCCCGCACCAATTCCCATTTGGACTGAGACATCTCATTTCATTTGATTGTGATCTCATTCCCTCGAACAAAAGTAAACAATAACAAAACCTTGCCCAAACACCCTAAAATTCCCCGAAAATTGCCGACTCTCCCCTTACCTCGGCAGCGCGCTTCGAGCAATCACCGACTCTTATTGATTCACCGGATTTACCGTCGAATGCTACACTTTATGTAATTCCTCAAAGCACGCGTCTATAACCTAGAAGCGTCTGAAATACTCGAAACAATAGCCTCCCCGAGGTATTATGACTGACGGCGTTACCTCTGGCCCCCAGATCGCGACTTTTCGCCCTCTAAAATTAGAACGACTGCTCACGGGGGCCGTTGGTGAGGTAATGAAAAGGTGAGATGACACAATATCGACACGAGATAATTTTACGATTGTAAGAGGCGCGATAATTCGTCTGTTTACCCCGACATTTGGCCCGTTCGTGTAAACATTGGGCTCTTATCGACAATAACAAACGACCCGAGGGCAATAAATTCTTGAATTTTATTGAAATTATCTTCTCTAACTTACGTGGCACGTGGGATCCGACGATATCCAACCAGAATATTCACCCACTTCAGTCATAAATCATGATAATTATGAATAAATGCTGAATAGGGATGACCAAGTGACGTTTCATCCGATCATCTGACACTGTAGCGCACACGTACGAGTGAGAGAAAAATCAATGACCACCGGCTTCCGATATTTCACTGTTTTTTTTGCTATTATTATTATGACACGTGATTATACCACTCCAGTCACTGGGATTAACTATTTACAGGGTGTATCGGAGGCTTAATTTAATGCACGAGTAATTAATGCGGGAGGACTAGGTTTATCGCTTATCATGGTAATGTCTTTACGTCATCTAACACGACCCGGTTGTGAACGACGCGCCTCACGTACACGACATTTTGGCTTTTACCCGAGGGGTGCCGACCAACGCCGAGTGTTGCACTGCGCGCAGCCCGTTTCACGCAGCTAAAAGCCGACCGCCGTCAGCGGGGATTTGAAACTTAGGGGCAGCACTTCGCGATGATTTTCGGATTTATTTTCATTGTTTTTTGACAAAAGTAGATGTTTTTTTTTATTGTGATGAACGATAAATTTAACTTTATTGGGATTGGGATGCAATTTAAATTGTGAATTCAATAGTATAATGAATTCATAATTTCGTTTATTAATTTTTGGAGTTTTTGGTGAATTTTCTCTTTTATTTTGACAAATAAAAAATTTGAGTTCATTCGCATTTGGGGACAGTGGCAATCGTGAATTAATTTATTTGATAAATACGAAATATTGATGAAGTATTTGTCAAATTTTGCAGATTAAAAAATGAAAAATTGTTATGTTGAGATTCTCTTGAATTGAATATGAAGATCTAACGTTTTTGATGTCAAGTTTCTGCTGGAATTTTATTAAAATTGTATTGTTCATTTTCATGCGCTTCGCGCGCGCTCGATTTGATTTTTTTTCTTATTATTTATGATCATTAGATATTTATTTATTCATTGAACTAAATATATTTGAAATTTTCCTGAATCAAATGTATGTTCGATTGGAATTGTATTAAAATTGTATTCGTAAATTATATTAATTTTTTTTTTGCTATTTTTGTTGAGCATATCGCACTTTTCGCGCAGTCATTGACAGATATTTGATAGAATGACAACAGACATCAATTTTTTTGCGTGTAGAATTTCTCGAACATGAATTTCTCAAGATTTCTCAGCTCATGTTTCGTTTATTTTTTAAAAATCTAAGGAAAAAAACATAAAAAATTCATTGAAGGAGAATTATATAAAAAATTAAAATCTGTTGATTTTTCCATTAAATTAAATACCTATCAGAATATTTAACGTCAAAGGAATATAATTTTGAGTAAAAATCGGTAAAAATGAATTCGTTTCCCAAACAATTCCACTGCAGATAGTGTCTCGCTCGGATTTTATATCCCACCATTCGCAGGAATTTATGAGATTGTAGAACGAAATCGGGAGTTTCCCTCGTAAACATGAACATGCACGACTTATCACAGGAGTTATAAAATTGTCTGTCTGTCCTTTGCAATGAAATTTCTATGTCTCAATGCAAAAACGATACGGAATCGGAGCCTTGAAAAAACTCTGTGACACACATTCAGTGTTTTTACATAGTGTAACACGTTGAAAATACAAATGACTATTTTTCATTCCCACGTATTGAGTTCGCAACTGAACATATATCCACCTGGAGAAAAACATTATTGTCACGAATGGAGAAAGGGAGAGGGTTTCCATGGGAAATTGATGATGACATTTTTATGACGATTGGTAAGACGTATGAAATGACTCAAATTTTTGTCGGGGATTGACATAAATTACGAGTGGTTCCAGCAAATACAACGGTTAATTTTATATGAGACTAGGGGGCCATGCCCCCTGCTCGCTCCGCTCACCAACCCCCATGATCCTTATTCTGACTCTTGTGGCCCTTAAACTAACCCCCATGACCCGTAATTTCGGAGTCTTAACTTCGAGTACCAAATTTTAATCCCCAGAAGTCGATTTGAATTTTTCTAACATAGAGAGATAAATTAGATCTCATTTGGAAGCTTCAAAAAATACCTTCAAAATGAAAAGAATTGAATTTCACTCTACCAATCTCGAATTTTTGATAATAAAAAATATATGATTAGGTAAGCATCGAAAGCAATTCAACTGAGAGGAAAACTTTCCATTTGAATTTGCCCCTCGCTTCTAAAAATATTTTTCTGACGCAGACAATAAAACCAGAGATTATGTAATCCCAATAATAAAAAATCAGACTCCTCAGTTACGTAAATTGAGTGGACGTGAGATCACTATGTATAATAGAAAACTCCTCTGGAATCGTCAGCATTACCTGACATCAATGAGCTAGACCTTCGGTGCCACTTGCGTTCGTTGATGTCACCAGTTAAATAAAACAGGTGGCGAGATGTCAGTACATCCAGATACTGGAAACCTAATCATCTATTCAATAAGGATCCGCATATTAATAATCCTCAACATGAAAATAATCCAATCAAAGCACAAAGTTCAGTAGAAATGAGATCACAATTTGTACAAATCGATTATATAAATTTTATTCGCGTGACTAGTAATTATCTTACATTTTTTACATGACTAGTGTCAACGACTAGATTCAACCCCAATCCCACAAATCCCATTAAAAATCAGGATTCCCAAGAATTTACTAGAAAAAGAAAATGAGAGAGGATCAGTTGATGGCTATTTAACAACTATGATTAAAGTTTCTGGATTTTTGTGCTCCTCAGAGCATCCTTGACTATTTTATCCTCACTGGTGGCAGCCTTCCACACCATCTCTAAATTATCCTGAGTTGCGAATTTCTCACGCTGTAATTTCCCAATGACGTCCTCCTTTTGTTTCAGCAGCTGCTTGAGCCTGTGTAACTCATGATGATAATCTGCTTTGATCTTACCCACTCCCATCTCCTGGCACTTCATGTGCTTTTCCACAGTGTCCAGTTGCTCCTTCGCACCTTTCTGAACATTCTGAGAATGTAAAACCAAAGAGGAGGAGTCAATCAAATATTACAGTTATCTTATCGCGACTTGATAACGTTCTTCATGGATATAGCCTGTACCTTTAACTGACTCTTCAACGTGCTCATTCGCTGGGCAATATTGTCACCTATCATCTGTATATTCTTGTTCTCTTTCTCTCTCTCTTCCAAGAGATACAAGAGCTCATTTCTCTCCGACAATAATCTCTCCTGCTCTTTAACTAGTTCATCGCAGTAATCTGTAGTTTTAGCCAATTGTCTCTTGAACGAGTCTCTGGCCACTTGCATAGAGCATATAGAACCCTGGATGCACTCTAATTTGTACTGAGTTCGTCTGAAAAATAATCCTCAATCACTATCACCGGAAAAACTCAAATAAATTAATTCAATTAATCCTCAACAATCCTCACTTCAAATTCTTCTCAAGATTCTTAGCCAACACCTTGAGCTGATCCCTCTCAGCTATAACCACAGCCAACATCTTCTCATTCTCCGGATTAGTCTCCTCAAATTTCTTCAACTGCCCCAGCAACTTTCTCTTCTCCGTCTCATACTGACTCTTCAATTCCTCGAACAACCTCTTGCACTCCTCGATCGCCTCGCTGTGTACAGACACTGGCATTGTCCTCTCAGAGTTCTTCTTCAACTTCTCGAAGGCTTCGTTCAGTATCTCGTATTTACCCTGGACATTACTCAGTTCTGTTTTGCAAGCTATGTACGTTGCATGCAGTTGATTGTTGTCCTGTGACATTGACTCAACTTTTTTTTCGTAGATCGAGTGGATCTCGTGGAGCTTCTGCTTCTGGAGGGAAGCCTGCTTTGTCAGGATTTCGTTCTCCTCCTTTATTATGGAGGCGTCCTCTTCGATTGTCTTCATGTCTGATGCCATCCTGTCGATCTGAACAATCGATATTTTTTTAATTCGTAATAGACTCATCAATCCATCACTAAATAATTACACAAAGAAATGAGTGAATTGCATCAATAATTTTTGAATCAATAATGGATGCATTAATTAATAACTAGAAGAAGTAACAATTATCTAAATATTTGAATGAATAAATTGTATGAATAAATCAAGAATTGACTGAATTGTTCACCAAAACTTATGTGTAAATGAAATGAAGCAGATTTATTGCTCCAAAAAGTACCTCTGACTTGAAATGTTCAATCTCCTTCCTCAAAGCATCATTCTCCCCAACAATTTCCTTGCACCGCCCACTAAAATCGTCCATTTCATGCTTATACTGCCTAACCAACTCGTCCTTCTCCCTCAAATTCTCCTGGTAAGCCTCCAGAAGAGGTGCGAGAACGTGAGTGTCCACTCGACCCCAGGACTCAGCCACTCTCCTGGCCTCTGACCCTGGGTCACTTTCCTCACCCCTCGGGCTCCTAGAGTCCTCCTGAGACTGACTGCCTCGCAGTTTATCCTGATATCTCTCCAACTCCACGTTCAATTTGTAAATCAACACCTTCAGCAGTGAAATATCTTCAGCCATCTGACTGTTTTCTGATTTCAATTTCTTGTAGCCGTTCACTAGGGTTGTTCTCTCCTGCTCTAGGGACTGAACGTGCTTCGTCAAGTCTTCGTAATGGGAGTGGAGCTCTTTGTATTCGTTTTCGTTTTTGGATAGGGCCTTTTGGAGATTTGAATTTTCAAGCTGAACTGTTTGGAGTAATTTATCGAGTTTTGAGCATTTAGTCTTGTATTTTGACAGCTGGTTATCTTTTTCACTTAGGTCATCCATGAAACCTTCAAATAGAAGCATTAGTGCTTTATCTCATTTTATCCATGATTACAGCTGTACGAAAACGTTCGAAAAGTGGCATTGATTTTTTTCTGGGAATTCTACTTATTTTTTGACGATTTCTATTGAAAATTGCGCAATCTTTCAGTCTGATTCTTAGAAGATATACGATTTAAAAAAAGTCAATTCATTTTCTGAGCCTTTATCTGCAGAAATTGTTGAGTTTAAATTTTCTCAGATCTCTGCTGTTTTTTTTGGTCCCAATTGTGAAATTTGAGAATAATATTTATTTAATAATCAACAAAAAACAGAGTGTCTCAGAAGTTTATAGCATTCTTATACGGCTATTATGGATATAATAATTAAATTAAATACTGAATAATAAACTAAATAGCAAAATCGATAATTATAGTCCAAGTGGATGATTTGATTTCTGGAGTAATATTCAATAAATATCGATTAATTCCCAAAAATATCTTCAAACTTATCCATTCGCATAATTTATTCACCCGAAATTGGGCGTTAAATTTCAATTTACCCGAATCTGGAGTTGTTTGCAATTTAGCTATCATTTTCTCGTTATCACTGATTAATTTTGCAGCTCCCTTAGATTTTAATGAACATCGACTCTTCGACGAATGTTTACGTCGATGACGGCCCCCATGAACTGGCTCCAACTCGTACTCATTCGTGAGAACTCTGCGTCTATGCTAAAGAATAAAAATACATAAATTCCAGAATTGTTCATTTGACAAAGATTTTAGGAAGATAAGGTGATTGTTACCTTCTTCTTGTCACTTTTGGCACTACTACTGTGCTCCAAACTGTTTATCGGAGTTCCATAAAAATACGACATCATGATGAGTCAACAACTTCACTAATCACGGCACAAAACTATTTTTAATAATCATAGTTTATTTCTGGGCGAATAATTCCTCCTGTTTATTAATTATTCACACGTAAACAACAGCCCTGACTCCTCGGAAAGGTTAGAAGAGTGTTGAGATTCCGCTGCCATGGCAACCGTAGTGCCAGGGGATTCCCGGAGAGGCGCCAGCATTCAGCGATTAATTTTATGCGCAAAATTCAAATGTGTGGAGCAGAAATACAGACAATTCGGAATTCTCAACGTGACATTGGAGGAAATCATGAGTGAATTTACTTTAAAAATTCGGGGGAGATGAAATCAATGGTAATCCCGCGTTGTTTAATGTATTATGACATTTTTCGTGTATTTTAGTTAGAGATAAAATTGAGATTCACTTATCGTCTTATCACAGAATTAACTGTGTGCGGTAGCTTTATTCCGGGAGAAAAGAATGAGGATACGTTTCCATTCAAATTGGATAAAATATGTTCTTGGATAATATTCTTGGAAAATATTCTTGGATAATTTCCAGTGGTATTCAAAATGTCTAGTTTCTGAGAATGTCACACGTCGTTGATTACCTTGACATGTATTGTTTAATTATACGTGGGTTTATTCACCTTCACGTCCCATGAAATTCAGATAATAGTCAATGTACAATGTGTAATATGCGGAAAGTACTGGTAATTTTTAGAAAATTTAATGGAATTGCAATTTTCAGGCTCATTTGACAATGATAAATAATGAAAATTGTGGAAGTTCAAGTAACTATTTTTCTGAAGTCTCATTCAATTGAATGTGATTTTTAATTGTTACAAAAAGTTTGCAGAATAAAACTGTTTTCTGTTTTTTGAAATTCAGGGGAAAAATTTCCAAGATTTAAAAGTAAAATAATAAATTTCTTTTTTCTTACTATCTATTTTCTTATTGTCAAACCATAACTATATTTCCACTCGGTTGTCTAATGTCTATACTACTTTGGAAATATCTGGCTGAAGGCCCTCAGGCGATAGCCAGGTGCAAGTTCTCGGACTTGCAACGAATTCCATTAAAAATAAAAAAATTATAAATTTCAAAATAAATAATCTAATTTTAAAAGTGTCACTTCTAAATTTTTAAAATGCCGCAGATGGTTTCAGTTTTTATAGAGCTATCCGCAATGTTTACCGAGCTGAACTGCCAAGTTGAATGAAAAATTCCATCAACAATTTAGTCTTAATTTCAATTGACACCCACAAAATTGAAACTTCAACGCAATTTTTTTATTACCAAAAATTCAAAAAATACCCAACGGGTTTCCACGTCCACATCCAACAATAGCATCACTTGTAGTATTTCCCCCAACAGCTTTTCCATATTCATTATTTCAAAACTTTTCCGTAACGAATCACAACCTAAAAATCATAAACAAATTCCAGATAACGATAAAATAAGCATTAAAAGCGCGGAACACAAGTGAAAAAATTACACCGAAAATGAATTATTCAAGTTGGGTCAATAAACTCCCAAAGAATCCCATCAATCACGAAAAAATCATGAGACAGTTACCGAGAATTATCTCCAGCAAGTATCAGAAATCATGTTTTTACATACCGGTGGCCATGAAAAAATGATCACTTGAGCCCGAAGAAAAGAGCGATAAAAAAAAAACGAAGAAAACCAAATGCACAAGTGTAAAATACACACAGGTGTTATCAGTGGCACGGGCTTCCCGCTTATATAGAGCACTTGTCAAATGAGCAAGCTGATTTAGTTCGCTATAGTTAGAGGAAGTTAACGGACCAAAAGATCTCTGATTTTCAATAATGCTGGAGAGTGAGTGAACGATTTCCACTAAATAAAACAAAATTCCACAAAAAAAACAAACAGTTTAACGAACATTTGAACGACCTGATAACAATATCATGAAAACGTGGGACAAAATGGCATTGCTGACGACAATTTCCTATGAAAAAAAAATAAGGAATTCAATTCCATACTACGGGGTGATACAGAATTTAATTCCTTATTTTTTATCCATCGGAATTCCCGGGGAAATACGGAAGTGAATTCCTTATTTTTTATACATTGGAATTCAATTCCGTATTACCCCGGGTATAAATTCTGATGTATAAAAAATTAGGAATTTAATTTCGGGATAATACGGAATTAAATTCCTTATTTTTTATTCATCGTAATTGAATTTCTTATTTTTTATACATCGCAATTCACTTCCGGATTACCCCGGGTATAGATTTTGATGTATAAAAAATTAGGAATTCAATTCCGGGATAATACGGAATTGAATGCCTTATTTTTGATACATCGGAATTGAATTCCTTATTGAAATCCTATTGAATTCCTTAAAAGCATTACGGTTGACCGAATATTAGCCCGGGGTAATACGGAATTGAATTCGGATGTATAAAAAATAAGGAATTCAATTCCGTATTATCCCGCGCTATTATTCGGTCAACCGTAATGCTTTTAAGGCACGAATCACATGGAAAAAATTGAACATATCGGTCGGTGAATATCTTGAATTTATTCTGTTTCAGGATTTTTATCTCCTCTGGTGGTCCTCCTGGGATTGGTGGGAACGGGTGAATCTCAATACAGCGGTTGTGATTATGCACAGAGAATAGAGCCTGGACGATCCTACCCCGTTTTCAGTCCAGGGTATCCAGCTAATCAGAATTATCGCCCTGGGACTTTCTGCAGATGGACAGCGAGAAGTGATCGGCCGATACAGATAAAATGTCAGCCATTCATCATTCCCTATCAGGTATTGTTTCAATCCCTTCACAGAGATTTCATTAGATGAAATATAGTCTATTTTTCGCAAATGATTGGTAATTTCCAAATTACCAGTTGAATTATTAAAAATTATCAGTTGAATACCGTGTTGACTATATGAAATAGTGGAATTCTATTCGTTGAAATTTGGATGGGAAGAATTCTCAGTGTAATTATAATGATTTATTAAACATTACTATTATTGATATGTTGCACTTTTAAAAATTTTCGTCTGAATTTTCCGTATCGAATCCCAGAAATTTTTCTCACCTGCAATTTCCACTGAAATTTCAGAACATATTGTCATTGAAAAATCAAATGTTCCATTGACTTTCTGTTTGAATGATTTGAAAATAAATAAAATACATGATTTTTCAGTTCAATTATTCCACGAAAATTCAGAAAAATCGTGAAAATTGTAAATTCATATAATTTTGTGAATGAATATTCATGTTCCATTGAACTTCAATAAAGTTGTGAAATTTCGTTCTTACTCCCACTGAAAGCTTCTGAATATCCTTCAATCCGACCTAAAGCTTGAAATTTCATAACCATTTTTCCCCTAAATCGGATTCAATGTAACTCTCATGAGAATTACTGCAACATTTTCCATGAAATCCATGAAATATAGAAAAATTTCTAGCAGTGTGTAACCTTCTCAAAAATCCCTCTTACTAATGATCGCCAACCTTCCAACACCCTCTGAAAATCATCGAATAATATCAAGAAACAAGAGAGAACCTGATTAATATCCTTCATTAATATCCTTCATTAACCCAGCGGCCTGGATGTCCAGTGGACGTCGTATTAATTCAAACAAATCCCAGAGGGGCTCAACGCTACTGCGGAGAGGGACGACTGGACCTGGTATCTGAGGGCAATGAAGTAATCATAGCCCTGCAGAGTGCGAGATATTCACCTGGAGGAAGGTTCCTCTGCGTTCTTCAGAATGTCCCTGATCGAACTGACTCCTGCCGTTGTGGGTGGAAGAACCCAGTGAGTCTCATTAAAACGAAACTAATTTTTAATTATCTACTCATTTCCCCTGAGCTAATTCTACATCGTGGGCTGTGTTATGTTTACTATTATGATAAGGTTCTTCGGTAGCCCTCAACGGTAGTTTATATACTGAGAGAAATATCGACATAATGTCACAATTTGAATTTTGTGGGCCAAATGTCAAATGGTTTGGAATAAGAATTCCGTCTAATGAAAGAATTCGGTGTAGTGTTCATGAGTTGAACGTGAATACTTCACGATCAAGTGGGAATTTCTTGCCTCGAGAAATCGTTTTGTTTGTGTCAAATGATAAAAAAATGACTGAAAATAGTAAGAGCTCCGATTCAGTGAATTATGAATCAAGAGACAGTCGGTTTCTGAAAATCCGGGAAATATTTCTGAAAATTAAAACTTTTTATCTCATGTCGAGGAAAAATATCATTTTTTATTCAATATCATACTCTTTCCATCCGACGAGCACTAATTTATTGTCTGAAATCAAAACTGTTACAAATTTTTGGCTGAAATCTGCGGTAAACTTTTTGGACATTTTTATCACATTTTAGTGTCATTGAAGATGAAAAAATGGAATTATGGATCAGAGACAGTCCGGTTCTGAAAATCAGAGACATATTTCTGAAAATTGAAACTTTTTATCTCATTTCGAGGAAAAATAGCATTTTTTATTCAATATCATACTCTTTCCACCCGACGAGCACTAATTTCTTGTATGAAATCAAAACTGTTACTAATTTTTAGCTGAAATCTGCGGTAAACTTTTTGGAAATTTTTATCACATTTTTGTGTCATTGAAAATTCAACGACTCTAACGGAAACGTCGCCTTGAATTCTATTGGAAAATACGAAAGGGTAGTGCCGACCTCAATAGTAAATTATGGGTCTACGGCAATAACGTCACTATTTTCGATTACCCTTTCATTCCAGACATTTTTTCCATTTTTTCCAGGGGTGTTTCGCCAGTAAGAATTCAGAATTTTAGGAAAAAATCAATGAAAACTGAAGATTTTAGTCCAATTATCCCTCGAAAATCAGCAGAAATCAGAGAAATTCAGTTAAATTTTTTCTTGAATTTTCAATTAATTGAAAATTCAGTGTAATTAGGTACTTAATATGCATGCGTTGGTTGAAACTTCAAATAATTTAGGGAATTCTCATCTTTCTGCTGTTCAAAAATTTTGGATTTCATTGAATTTCTAATTAAATCTTCAATTTCATGATTGTTTTCGCCATAGATTGAGTTCAATGTTACTTTTCTCAAAGTTGCAAGTCAAATGTCCACGAAAGTACAGTTCTTTCCTCAATGTTCTCCACTCGAAAAATTATTTCGATTTCACTGATATTATTTCAATTTTTCTCTCAGTGTAAGAGAATCACCTGAATAACCTGAGTGATTTTTGCAGACGAGAATAGTGGGAGGTACGACAACTGGAGTTAATGAGTATCCCATGATGGCTGGTCTCATTGATGTCAATTTGAAAATTGTTTACTGTGGCGCTACTATTATCAATGATCGTCAGGTTGTCACGGCAGCCCATTGTATAACTGCCAATATGACTAGTGCTAATCTCGCGGTTTTAGTTGGAGATCATGATTTAGTTAAAGGTGAAACCCAAATGAATAATTTCAATTTTTCAATTCCGTAGTGAAGTGCTAATTTCCATTTAGTTATTGACTTAATTTCGAACATAACAAAGTTCGAGAAATTAATTAAATTGAGGCAAATAAATCTGGAAAAAATTGAAATTCCCAATTTTCGATCAAATTCACGTTTTTTCAACTCTCACATTTTTTACCTCCAATTTTAAAAATTTTGGCTAAAATTGCCAGGGAACTACTTGAAAATTTTGATTAAAAGACAGGTCCACTGAAATTCTGAAGAATTTCATCATTTCAAAAAATCAGTAGAAATATAAATTTTATTTCATCTATTCCATCAAAATAAATAGAAAACAACAAAATGCATCCAAATAGATTAATTAATTATACATAATGGTGAATCCCTCGTAATTTTGTGGTCAATATTCACGTTTTAATAAAAAAATTCAAGTAATTTAGGTAATTCGCATCTTCCAGCAGCAGAAAAAATTCAAAATTCCATTGATTTTTCTGGGTGATTTGAAATTTTGTGCCATAAAATTTTATTCTTTTTCCAATTGTCCGCGTTTTACCACTTCGCTCCTGATTTTAAATTTTTTTACCTCTTGAGTTAGTTCTTTTCCTTAATTAATTGCAATTGATTTGCTTCAGCGGATGAAACCAACGCTACAGTGCTGCACAAAATTACCGGAATCGCTGTACATCCTCGCTACAATGCAGGGACTCAAGACAACGATATTGCGATTATTACTACAATTACTCTTATCCAATTTAACCAACAAGTGGGACCCGCTTGTCTTCCTTTCCAGCATAGGTTTGACTCGTTTGCAGGGAATTACGTTGACATTCTAGGTAATTTTCTCTTTTGAAACGAATAGTTCAGCCTTCATTCAAATCGAATTTAACATTCGATTCAAACGCAAGATTTTCATCCACTGTTAATTCATCTTGGAAACAAATGATATTGAAATATTTTTCGCAAAGATGAGGATTTCCAACAGAAAATTATTCTCGCCGTTTTCCTCTGACATGATTTGTTGCAAAGGTAATGATATACTACCAAGCATGAAAAATTAGTAATGAGTAATTTCCCATTTTCGTTCATTATGCATTTGTCTCAGAAACACATGATATGAGGAAGAAATATCGAGACAGCTTTTGCAGATAAAGAAATACCCAACGAAAAATGTCTTTTTGTATTTTTCTCTGAAATTTTTCATTATCAAGATGATTTAATGCTCAACAATCTGTGAAAAATTGTGGTCTGCTACGTTTTACTACTCCATTGATGAGATCGCGTGCGGAAAAATTTCGCAGGAAAATCTATTGGATTTCTGTTGAACATTCTATTAGTTTTGGCCGATTCTATCGAAAAATTTTTATGGAAAATATTCTGTAGAAATTCATCGACGCAAATTTTCTAATTTTTCGAATGAAGAGAGAAGAAAAATCGAGTGGAAAGAAAACTTACAAAATTCATAACGAGAAATTCTTAGTGAAAATGTCCCAGGAGAACAATTTGTGTAGAAACATGAAATTCCATTGATTTTCTCTGCACTGTTAGAAAAAAAATGAAATTTCGTGCATAGTTGACTACTAATTTTCAGGACAGTGACACTAAATGGGATTTAGTGAAAAAAATCATGAAATTTCAGGTTTCACTGAAAATTCAATGAAATTCCAGAATTTTAAGCAGCATAAATACGAGAATTCCTTAATTCATTTGAATTTCCAATCTAATATGAATATTCAGTGCCAAATTACATTGAATTTTCAGTGAAATCTGAAATTCCAGGATTTTTTCCCCCTAAATCGCATTCAGTGTCACTGACCTGAAAATTCAAGAATATATTTACCGGAATTTTCTGGTTTTCTATTCATTTTCAGGGAAAAATGAAACTGAAATTTACAGTTCTCTTTAATTTTTCCACGAAATTCTGAATTTACAATGACGAAATTCCTTGAAAGTTTAGTGGTAATTAAATTCGATAAAAATTTCCAAAAAGTGTACCGGAAATTTCAGACAAAAATTTTTAACAGTGTATAAAATATTTTCTATAACAAAAAAAAAGCGCGATAAAACTGCATGTAAAATTCTCCCACAGAATTACAAAAATAAAAGTTCAATAGAAATCCTGTAGAATTTTCTATTGAATTCGCTAGGTTTTTCTATAAAATTCGTTCAATCTTATCTAATCATTGGTTCTAAATACAAATCATTCGTTTCATTTCGTTCGAAAGGATGGGGATCGATTGAATTTGGCGAAGCACAATCCAAAGCCCTTCAGAAAGCCGAGGTTGGTGTGATAACTCCGAGAGATTGCCGACGGACGCATCCCAGAATTAACGAGAATCATATGTGCACCCTGGGGCAAGGAAAAGACTCCTGTCAAGTAAATATTTCATTCAGTTATTATTCAAGTCCTGTGAGTCTTCTCCTGTTGCCTCGCAATAAAATTGTTATTTTTCTCAGTACGACAGCGGTGGACCTGTCCTGTGGAGGAATCCATCCACTAAGCGTCTCGTTCTCGCGGGTCTCGTCAGTTTCGGGGGTGCCTGCGCGGACGGTAATCCAGCAGTCAACACCAGGATTGGCGGATTTATCGATTTCATTACGTCCCAGAAACCTCCCGGTAATTCTTCCATTTCTATCACTCGACTTTTCCAGATTATTGACGTAAATTTCCACGTGTCTCAGAAAATCGAACGTAACTCGGGAAAATCATTCAAAGAAACGCATCTCAGGACTGTAATTCCATTTTCACGGAATAATTGAACTGAAAATTACGGTTTACATTTATTTTTCTATAGAATTCTGAATTTTAAATGACGAAATCGATTGGAGTTTCGGTGAAACCGTAATGTGATGAAAATTTTTAAGACGTGAACGCTTTTGTATTTTTCATCAAAATACTTGTAACTCAGAAAGAAATTCGTCGATTGATCTTAGTCTGCATTAATTACAGAGGTAAAGAAATGTGAATTTAAAAAAAAAACAAAAAAACAAATTTTCACGTTTCATTCACCATATGAAGGTCTTCATTTTATCCTACTATAAAGAAGGCAAATCGTGAATACTTTCAACAATAATACCTTCAATTGTTTCAATCCTCATCTGATCATAATTCTGTCACGTTGCGTCCTTGCGCCCCTTAAGGGGTAGCAGAAGGCCATCGTTTTCTCGAAATTTTTAAACAAATGTCCTGCTCAAAATTATTAATATTTTTTCAACCCAAAGCACACTGATCTTCATCATCATCTCCTGGAGATTAATGTGCTTCGATTTTTTAAAATATCGATAACTTTCAGCAGGAAATTCGTTCCAAAATTTGAATAATTAAGGGCATTCTGTTAGCCCCTAATTTAACCCTTGTCTGGTCACCAAAAGCGACCCTGCGACTCTGGTCATCACCACGGGGATTCCCCGCCGTGTTATTTAGGCTCTAGCGTTGCCGAATTCACTCTAGACTGCCCGGGCGCGTTTAACGAGTTCCCGGCAATGTCGCGTGATGGGGAATTTCATGCAACACGGGAAAAGATAATTCATCTGTTCGAAATAATTTGTTTTTTTTTAGGAATTGCGGGAAATGTGTTGCTCCAAAAAATACTATAATTCTTTAGACACTTCAATTGACAAAGTAATTTCTTTTTATTTTTCCGGTTTGCCAGTCAATTGTAATTAAGGAAAAAACGACACGCGGCGGGGTTTCCCTCATATGGTGCCCAATCTAGGGTTAATTTATAGTTTCAAAATGTGACTTTTCTAATCATTTTCCCGAGTTACATCTCTTCTAAAAGGCGTCGATTGACGTACGTGAATTTCTAACGAATTGTCTCCTTACTCTTCCTTTACAGACTATAAATATTGCGTAGACGAGTGAATATCAGGAGAACGAGATGACGTCACATTTTCAAATCCATTAGGTCAGAAGGTCAGAAGATCATTCGACTGTCAGACGAAAGCCGTTTATTTCAGATCACAAACTTATTTGTCGCAAAAATTCGTTGCATTTGTTGATAGTTTATAGTTTCAATCTCTCATTAAGATTTAAACACAATAATTGTATCTATTTGAAAATCGACTGAATGACTTGTCATCATACAATCCCTAGTGAATAGCCCCAGGTGAGAAGTACTAACGCGAATAAATCCATAGAACCCATCATAATTCCTCGAATAACACAGCATCAACTGTACAATCAATAAAACTATTCAATCGTCATCAAACATTGACTTACATTTACTTCAATGAATGTGTACCCTTCCATACAGATTATTTCGATAATAACTGGTGGATGAAGAATGGAATGTAATACGAAAATGAGCTGTTTTGCCCCTGTAATAAGTGGTGGGTAAGTAGTGCATTTCTTTGCATCTCGGAAGAAATTCTACGGTCCTTCAATGACAATTACGACCTTTCATCTCGTTCAGTTCTTCAACAAGGAGAATGTAAAAAAAACATTGGCGATACACTGTTAGAAATTTTTTGAAATTTCATTGAAAATATGATAGTAATTGTCATAAGAGTAACATTGAATCAGATTTAGGGGAAAAACAGTTATGAAATTTCTAGTTTTAGGCAGAATTCAAGAAAATCCATGAGTTTGAAATGGGAAGGAGATGCAAATTTTACAAATTGATTGAATTTTCACACGGCGAGAAATGTTTAGTCAAAATTACGGAACTCACAATTCGCTCATGGATTACGGAATCGACTCAAAAAATTTAAGTCACGGTATCAGATAAAATTACGGAACGCTCTGGAAAAATTCCGTAATAGTTCCGTAAAATTTCCTACAATCACATTTCGCCCCGAAATTACGGAAAAATACGTAATTTTTATTGAATATTTCTCTCCGTGCAGTGGAACATGAATATTCAGACACAAAATTACATGAATTTTCAATTTTTTCCTGAATGTTCCTGATTTTTCTGAATTTTCATAGAATAATTGAACTGAAAAATCAAGTATTTTATTGATTTGTAGATCATTTGATCAGGAAATCAATGGAATATTTGATTTTTCAATGACAAAATTTCCTGAAACTTCAGTGGAATTTGAACACGATAAAAATTTCCGGAATTTGCCACGGAAAATTCAGACGAAAATTTTCAACAGTCTAGTGACGAGTAGAAACTACAGGAATGGGTGCGACTCTTATCGGTATCGTGAACCCTATCGCGTAAACAAGTTTATTAACTTCGAAGTAATGTTGAGGAAGAAGTAAAAAGTGGCCGATATATTACGACTTTTGAAATGTTGAGTAGTAAGTGAAGAATAAAAATGCAAATAAATTTTATCCAAAAATCACTGACACCGACGATATAATTCTCAATCTAAGAGTAATTCTTGTGGAACTGTGAGTGGAGTTATTGAATAGACAGTGAAATTCAATGCCAAGTTTACCTAAATAATGATCCGTTCTGCCCCTACAGGGGTATAATTCGTCTTTCTTTGGACGTTGGAAGAAATTTTCCTGTCTTTCAATGGCACTTACAACCCTACATATCGTCAAGTGCTGAGACAGTGCGAATTATTCTTGAATTTAGAACACAAGTGTCCTTAATCCTGTAGCGAAGTGGTAAAACCGTTCAAGTCGACTCATCTCCCAGTTGAGTGTTTGAGGAATATCTCCGAATCTAAGAGAGATAGCGAAATTTTCGTCATTACATTTGTCGTAGCACCCAATCGGCTCTACAAAAAAGGTTATAACAAAAATTTTGCTATCTCCCTCAGATTCCGAGATATTCATTGAAAACTGGTCAATAGTCAAAATTGACTTGTATCGTTTTACCACTCCGCTACGGAATTAAAAAATTGGAAAATTGTAACAATTCCAGAATTATTATTCCTCATCTTCCTGCGATATTCGAGAGCAACCAGCAACTCTCCGACTCAAAATTGCAGTTACTTCCAGATACTGGGAGGCGGAGAGTCGTATTCTGTGTACAACCCCTATTTTCCTCGTAAATATGAAGGAGAGAATAACTGCCAGTGGATCACCAGGAGCGATCGAGTCATGGATGTCAATTGTTCAGTGAACCTGCCAGCAGTACTTATTATCATCACCTGTTTACTCACTTCTCTGAGATTCCATCCCCTAACTCTACGATCGTTTTTCAGAGTGTTGACTGTAATCAGGATTCCCTCATAATCCAGGGATTATTCGTCGAGGCTCGGGCATACTGTGGTGTCGATGAAGTATTTTTACAAGCATATGGTGAAGTCAAAATTAACCTGATCACCCCTGAGTCTTCTGACGGTGGGACATTCGAGTGCGATATTAAAACATACGAGGATGCAGATTACGAAGGGGATGAAGAGAATGACGAGGAAGCTTGTCACTGTGGCTGGAAGAATTCGGTGAATTTGTAGTCTACGTGACAATTATTGTTTTCTATTATCAAGCCAATCTATTAATAATTTTTAAGTAGTAATACCCCCAGAGCTTCAAAATTATTGGGTATTTCCCGATAGCTCCGTTGCAAACCAATGAGGGTGTCAAGTTTTGCAAGTTAAAAAATCCCGAGCGCTTGTGCGAGGAATTTTTCTGCAAAACTTGGCACGATGGCTTGTTTGCAGGGGAGCTCGAGGGAAATACCCGATTAATTTTGAATCTCGAGGGGTATTTGTCGGACAACACATTTCGAGGTGCAAACAAATTTAATTGGAAATCTGACATAGACAAAAATCGACAGATAATTTTTCCTCCGTGAGCATTTTTCCACATAAATTCAATAAATTTCTTCCCTCGTAGTATGTGTAATGAGGAGCAAAAAATACAACGGGAAATCTTTACTCCTAGCTCATTTTTTCATAGAAAAAATCTCAACAGAATGAATTACATAGAAACAACAGAATCTATCAACCTTTTTTCATCAAATATTCAGTAGTAATACCCCAAGAGTTTCAAAATTATCGGGCATTTCCCGATAGCTTCGTTGCAAACAAATGAGGGTGTCATTTTTTCTGCAAAACTTGGCACGATGGTTTGCTTGCAGGGGTGCTCGAGGAAAATACCCGATTAATTTTGAATCTCGAGGGGTATTTGTCGGATTATTTTTCCCAATCGGATTTTGCCCAAGCAGAGTGCAGTGGACAACATCAGGAGGTGAATTGGGGAAGATTTGAACAAATTATGTCAATAGAATAACCCGATTTCCATAGATTGTCAAATATAAGATTCTATCTGAAATGAGCCGAAAAAATGAAGCTACTGCGAAATATTCAGGTTAAAAAAAATGAAGAACTACTGCGGAATATTCGAAAGCTAGAAGGAAATATCCGAAATAAAACTGTCGGGTAGCCTTAAATACTGCGGTCTGATTGGTTGAAATCCGATTGGGAAAAATAATCGCTGAAATTTTCAATACATTTCCACTTGAATTTCGAGAAATTTTGTCAATGAAAAGTCAATTATGGAGAGATCCATTTTTTCTGGGATTCAAACAGAAATCTTTCGACTAAATTCGCTTATTCAAAAGTTCTTAATGAACGAAATTAACCGTTGAGTCATTGCTTCCAGGAAAAAATCGTAGGGGGTACAGACACTGAAGTGAATGAATATCCCATGATGGCTGGTCTCGTCGATCTCTCGTTCAGAGAGGTCTACTGCGGTGCTACCATCATTAACAATCGTCAAGTGATCACTGCCGCTTCGTGCCTAGAAGACATAGACCAGCGTCTCTTAACAGTTTTGGTTGGAGAGCACGATGTGGTAGCAAGTGAGATGAATCCTCCGAGAACTCCCCATAATTTATAATGTTACGCATTCCCATGAATGGTAACACTGGATCAAATTATATGTTGGAGGAGTTCAAACAATACTATTTTACTGTTAAATCGCGACGTTTCGTTTGAAAATGAAGCTTTCTCAGACTTTTCGTGATAAAACAGTCTTCAAACCACGAAAATTATCACTTGATAATTCCGTTAGTAGAGGAGGGTGGGGCGAAATGGATAGTTTTTACATTTCTATCAATGTTTATAACTCCGGAACATGTGACACTGAATCCGATTTAGGGGAAAGTGGTTATAAAATTTCAAGTTTTATTTAGAATTGAAGGAAATTCGTGAGTTTTCAGTAGAAGTCAGACGAAAATTGCACGGCTTGATTGAATTTTCAATGAAACATGAATATTCAAAATAAAATTATTATGAATTTTCAATTTTCCCTTGAATTTTACCGATTTTTTCGAATTTTCACGGAGTGATGGAACTGAAAAATTAAGTATTCTATTGATTTCGTGATAATTCAAACTGAAAATCAATGGAATATTTGATTTTTCAATGACGAGATTTCCTGAAGTTTCAATGGAAATTAAACATGATAAAAATTTCCGAGATTTGACGCAGAAAATTTAGACGAAATTTTTCAACAGGGCAGGCCAATTGCAAAGGGAAAGCATGGACGCGGACAGGATGTACATTCAATTTTTTTAAATCCATTTCACTTACGATTCAACATGTCATTAACATTTGAAAAAAAGTAGGCAGTGTCCATTTTACCCCACCATGATCTGACAGTCCAGTTGATTTCTGAAATCAGTAGCGAAGTGGTCAAACGGTTCAAGTCGATTTTGACCACTCATCAGTTTTCAATGAATATCTCGCAACCTAAGGCAGATAGCAAAATTTCTGTTAAAACCTTTTCGGTAGAGCGCATTAAGAGTTTCAAAAAAGATATGTACGAAAGTTTTGCTATCTCCCTTAGATTTTGAGATATTCTTCGAAAACTCAGCTAAGAGCTAAGTCGACTTAAACCGTTTGACCATTTCGCTACTGAAATGTCATTTGGTTCGAATCAGGCAGTGACACCGATGCAACGAAAATCTTCAAAGTAGATTCTATCCACATCCACCCGTACTATTCCGGAAAGTACAACGACATCGCAATAATCACAGTATCAGGAACTATTGAATTCAATGAGCAAGTGGGACCTGTTTGTCTGCCATTCCAACACGCGCCCGACAGCTTCGCAGGACAATTCGTAGACGTTTTAGGTGATCACAGAATCAATTTATATGTTTTACTTATGAAATGTCTTAATTCATTATTAATATGCAGGCTGGGGAAACCTTGCGTTCACTGGGGCAAAGGCTACTACCTTGCAGAAAATAGAAGTCAGTGTTATTACTAATTACGAATGTAGGAAGACTTCGAGCATTCAGGAGTTCCAAATTTGTACTTTTACGGAAGGGAAAGACGCTTGTCAGGTAATATCGTCCTTCATCAATGATTTCTCTTCGGGAAGTATGTATTTTCCATGTGAAAGATCGATAATTGCGCAGCAGGAGTATTTTTTCTCTGGGGGTGTTCCTTATCGCTTCCTCGTAGAGAAAACAGTTTCTTTTGTTTTTTTGATTTGTTTTCTTTGAGAATTTCGGAAAATATGTTATTCTAAAAACTACTATAATTCTTTAGACACTTCAATTGACGAAATCAATTGTTTTTTTAAGTTTTCCGGTTAGCCAGTCAATTGTAGTTAAAGAAAAACGACGCGCGGGGCAGTTTCCCTCAAATGGTGACCAATCTAAGATTAACAAGGCTCTTGTTTTGTCAGAGAAAAAAAATTGATTTTCAGAGACGTCACTAATCATCAGGAATCCATGCCCCGTTAATCCTGAACTTCATCTCTTTCGAATGTCCTTAATTTGTCAACTTATTTGTTTTTCTTTATGGACTTTTTAAAGTAATTTTAATAGTACATTAGAGTACAAGGGCACAAATTTCGTTTTCAACGAATGTGTAGTTTACAGGCTGAGCCGAAGGCGAGGTCTGTACACACATTCGTTGAAAACGAAATTTATTACCGAGTGCTCTATAATATTTTATGTCAAATCGTGCAGAAGTCGAGTTTTGAGCAGGCTCCGCGAAGCGACATAAAGACTTTTTTTATATCAATTATAAGTTTTTCAAAATCATTAACGTTGTCAGGATAACTGCACCTTTTTTTTCGTTGGGTGTAGTTTGACGCTGGTGGGCCTCTACTGTGGAGAAATCACATAACTAAACGTCTGGTACTCACGGGAATAATAAGCTACAGCACTGGCTGCGCGTATGGGAACAATCCAGGTATAAATACCAGAATTGGAGCCTACATCGACTGGATATTATCTGTCTCACCCGCAGGTAGTAATCCCCTTTGAAATTAATTTCAAAAAGCCACTATTCAGCACAAATTATAAAATTGATCGTATATTTTCTCATTTTCTTTTCTTCTAGACGTGAAATATTGTGTGGAAGAGTAAGTAGTGGAATATTAACTTTATAGGGAAGAAAAACTAAGATGATTTATCCCCTGGAGTAATAAACAATCATTATTATGAGGCTTGTTATTAGATATGGAATAAAAAATTAATCAAAAGAGAAGAAACTTCACTCTTTTGAGATATCAGAAGATTAACTTTCAGTCACGAAGACCAAACAATTCGTCATCAAAAAGGAATTAACGTCCTTTTTTCTCTTGCGCCAACATCATTGATATTTATGTGAACATTTCTTTGTAGTGAAATATCACGCTTGTTGCCCTGCACTCGTAGAAATTTCTCCCGAAATTTCCAGTAAACAATCAATTATAAAGATTGGATTCAGTATATTTTTTCACATTATTCTCTATTTTTATTTTTATTTTCGAAATCTTCCAGTAGGTGAATTACTAATTTGAAAATAAATTTCATAAGAGCGCGTATTCAAGAAAAAATTAGTTTATTTCATGAGCGATTTGATCTTAAATTGAATTCAGATTCATGAATTCGAATTCAATTTAATTGTGCACAACATGAAAAATTCGCACGAAGTTATCGCTTAAATTTTCAAAAAATTTCTGGCAGTGTATAAACTCCCTCCCATTTTCCAGAGTAAAAAAAAAAGTATTCCACATTTTCCTCCCTTTTCGTATTGAATCATCCCAAGCAATAAAAAAAATCATGCCACAGCCCAATTAACACCAATTCGCAACTTCAAAACACTTGGAAATATAAAATACCCAACAACAGGGTCAAAAGGTTACTCCAGTCCCTATTGCATAACCCGTCCACAATCAACCCAATGTAAACCAAGCAGATGTACCACATATGCCATTAAACCCTCCCCACACACGCAAACTCCGAATTCAACCTAGAATGGAATCGCGTGACGTCACGGGGGTGTGTACCGCGCCTTCTGCGCGTGAGGGGAGGGCCAAGTCCTGCGAGGATGGAGGGGAACGCAGGGGTGATCGAAGCTTGAATAGACGGAATACACGACCCCTACCCGAAACATGGTAAAAGATGAAGTAAAGAACCGTTCGAGTTACATCATGATACAACCGAGTGCGTAGATGTGTGACGAGGGGAGGGGCGGGCGGGGGTTGGGGTGAAGAAATGTTCATTCTGCGTGGTGGTACCCACCCCCGAAATCTCAGCGCCGCGATCGATCGTGTGCAGTGATAAAAAAATGACCTAATAGGGGAGGATAGGGTAAAATAGACCCTTTAGAATTGTTTAAAATTATTCATAACTCTGAAACAAAGGTATCAGTAGAGCTCCGTTTAGGCTCACTACAAAGGGAAAGAATTGTTCTTTGTATTGAAAAAAAAAAATTATTAAATTTCATCAACATTCCCACCCGTCACTAATATTTTTAAAAAAGTCAAAAGCGTCCATTTTACCCCAACCTCCCCTATCACAAAACAGTTATTTTCGTCACAAGGCCGAAATAGTATATTTCGGTTAAACTTTACGTATCTTCAATTTGATCCTGTCATTGACCTTAATTTTTGTCTTTACGAATTGAAAAAAAATGAAAAACACCAAATGAAGATTTATTTGAACGAAATGAAGGATTATTAAATTCTTCTCAATTAATTTATAAAATCAAATCAATTGATAAAATGATTATTAATATTGAGGAATAAAATCGTTGTCTTCCCTCTTCAAACAACAATTTCATTTCAGACTAGTAAAGTCTTTATCTGATTTTGGATCAAGAAAACACGTGTTCAAATGCAAAAAGCTGTTCACCTGATGTCAATAAAAATGTAAATGAAGATTAAATTTGAGTTCGAATAAAAGCTTTTTAATTAATATTTACTGAACCCATCCATTTAATTCAAATAAACCGAATCATTCCTCTTATTCAGCTTCACCTTAAACTCTCGACTAATCCAACTGATTTTGTCGACCATCAAATGCTTGATTCAACTAATTCACCCGTTGTTACTATTCAATAAATCCTTTAATCGGTGTGAGCCAGGGATCCCCATCAATATTAAATTTCTGTAATACTACAAGGATGCGACCCCTACATTAATGCAGGTTTAAAATATGTTGATTCAATTTTTCAAATAATATAATATTAATAATCTGAGTTTTTACGAATAATTAGGTATTTAAAATTTGTTAATATGAAACTCTAAAATTTACTACTGAATGAATAATTCAAATTTCTTGAAAGGGGATTTTCGCTTACACAAATAATCATCAATCTTCCTACTTCGACTATTGATTGATAAAATAGTTGAAAATTTAAATATTTGAATTGATGATACTCAAGTACTCAAAAAATTTCAGGAGTGATGTTATTTAATTGATGGCTACAATATTTAACCGTAGTAAAATATTACAAATTTGGCTACCTCTGGTGTGAGCATGGCGCATCGAGGTCCTTGGCGACTTGAACTTAAAAAACCGATATAATTGTCCACAGTGACACACTTACCGACGATTCAGAATTTTTCATGGGCTTCCATCGTCTGTTCCGACACACTCCCACACTTCCCTCCTCCTCTCACCCCCTGGAGACATCAACACCTGAAAAAAAAGTTGTCATGAGTGCATATTTCAGCGCCGAATCCGACGGAAATACGATAATCCCGAACTTTTTGGAAAATTTCAAATTTTTCATAAAAAAACGCGAGAAAAATGCAGTGAATTCAACAAATGGCATACATGCGCAGTGGTCCCAGAGCCGAGCACCAATGGGGAACCAGAAAAACATACCGAGCACGGGTGCGCATGAAATCCTCCCTTCCCGCTTCGCCATTCAGTTGTGTATTGACTCTCGCACGAGACGTTTACAAATCCCTGTAATATTTCCATCAGGATTCGTCGGACGATTTTCAAGGAGTAAATAAAGCCTGACCTAGAGTAATAACTGGTGAGCCTGAAGGCCAGATACATGGGTCCGAAAGCCCTCAGGCCAGTTTCACTTCACGTTGAATATAACACGAGTCTGCAGAATCTCAAAAGCATCAAATTCAAGTAATTCGATGAACAAAAGTCGAATTAATTGCGATTATATCCAGATTGGACCAGAGTTATAGCATTATTCCCCTCCAGCGAGTATTGTTAATTGAAAAGTCATAACAAGCGATTAAATCGAATTCTGGAAATAGTAGGAAGAAATGTTTCCTCAATTTGTCTAATTCATTGAGAGTTATTTCAACTATTTCCGAATACCTGAAGATTTGGGGAAAACTAAAAGTATTGCATTCGAAAATAAGTGCTTCCTCACAGCGCAAATAAACCAGATTTGATATTTATTTTGAATACTTCGTGATAATATTTGAAGCAGAACTTTATACCTGAAAGGGGGAATTCCTCTGCCCTCAGGCGGGGCAATCGCGGTATTCGAATGCAAATATAAATAGCGATTTCATTGAGGAAATTACTGAGCGCATCAGTGAGTGATCGCGAGTATCAGACGGTATTTCGCGATTGAGGGGACAGGACTCTTGTGATAAACCAGTGACAGAGGTATATTTATTCCCTTATTTATCCTTCGGTGCTTGACGAGCCCCCCCCCCGTGAATTTCCGTTGATCTAGCAACGATTTTACGCTCAATCAATTCGATAAGAACGCGGAATTGTAAGACGACGGAATTGTGAAGACGTCGAATTGTGAAGACATTCCCTGGGAGATGGTCAGTGAGGCACCCAGAGCTGGACACGAGCTGGCACCTCTCAACGAGCCACGCCAGGTCCCGCATACAGTTACTATTGCCGTTGGTCCAGGACACAATGGGACGCATCCTGCTGAGGGGAAGGAGGACAATAGGGCCGCGTGGAGTGGCAAAATGCAGTTCTTTCTCAGCATCATTGGGTATAGTGTTGGGTTGGGAAATATATGGAGGTTTCCGTATTTTTGCCAGCAGAATGGAGGGGGTGAGTACATGGATCTGAGGCTTTTTTAAATTCATCTCTACTTTGAATGGACGAAAGAATTTTTTTTTCATTTTGTTTTCGAATGGAAGCTTTGTATTTAACCGATTTTTCGATTTTCTAATTTTTATTGCAAATGGTTTAGAATGTTGTGAAACGCGAAGAAATTATGTTTTTAGGGTCATGTCTGTATGTATGTGATAACTTGAGTTTTTGGTGATTAATTTTTAAAAAACTATTATTATTATTATTATTATTATTATTATTCGTATTATTTCTGTAATTGGTACATGGTACCAATATTACTCAACAAGGAGGTCCCTATATGCAGGAGAAATAATATAATTTATGTCGCGCCGTGCAATAAGTCGAGTTTATCGCACGCTGCGCTTCGCGCAGCTTGCTCAAAACTCGACTTCTGCACGACTTGACATAAAATATTATAGAGCACTCGGTAATAAATTTCGTTTTCAACGAATGGGTAGTTTACAGGCCGAGCCGAAGGCGAGGTCTGTACACACATTTGTTGAAAACGAAATTTGTGCCCTTGTACTCTAATGTACTATAATATCATATAAAACAGTATTATGTAATGGCCACTAAAGATGAAAAATTTCTGCAAAAGAAAAATACAAAAATAAAGTGGATGCAAAATAAAAGGCCTATTTTTAGAAAATTCATGTATTAGTTGAAAATTTAGAGTGATTCAATACTGAGTTTTTGTTTTTATTGGAAATTCAAGTAAGTTGGGGAATTCCCGTCTTTCTGCGGCTCAAAAGTTTGGAATTCCATTGAATTCTCAGTAAAATTTGAAATTTATGATTTGTTAACGAGATCAATGCTATTGTTCTGAATATTGCTAGTCAACTGTCCACGAAATTTCAATTTGTTTTGCAACCGTGGAAATTCCTCTGTTATTAATAATTCTTATTATTAAAGAGGATGACGTGATACAATCGAAGTTCAATCCATTCTAAAGCATAACGTTCAGTTATGAAAAATTCAATTATCCACTTGTTTTTCCTGGTTTGAAAACAGGATAAAATTGAAGGCTGTCAATGATGTCATCGAAGAGACAGAGAAATTAATCTCTTAACGAAAGAAAATAACAAATTTCGAATGCGAAAAATTTTAATTGGAAACCTGACATAAACAAAAATCGATAGATAATTTTGCCTTCGTGCGAATTTTTCCACGTAAATTTAATAAATTTCCTCCATCGTACATCAGGAGGTGAATTGGGGAAGATTTGAACAAATTATGTTAATAGAATAACCCGATTTCCATAGACTGTCAAATATAAGATTCTATCCGAAATGAATCGAAAAAATGAAGACCTACTGCGAAATATTCAGGTAAAAAAATGAAGAACTACTGCGAAATATTTAAAAGCTAGGAGAAAATATCCGAAATAAAACTGTCGGGTAGCCTCAAGTACTGCGCTCTGATTGGTCGAAATCCGATTGGGAAAAATAATCTGTTAGAAAAATTGAGCAATTCTCAATTACTTCAATAAATTAATTTTCTATTCAATTGTGGTACGTGTTTGATCCACATCTCAGGGACAATTGGAGGAAAACATCTCTCATTTCACCCAAAATTTCATTTCATTTCAAAACAATTCAATTCAATTTCTTCTCGTCAATGATATAATTATGCTCTGACCGTCAATATTTACTTTCCCGATGAGGGTGTCGGTTTCAAACAGTTGAATCTCGCTCACCAGTTACCAACCATCGACGAATCGATTATCCTGGGATTGATGGAATGGAGAAATTGATTGCATCATAGCGTGCGGGCTGCCATCGATTGAGAGATTAAAGTGCATCCAAGACATTCTTAATCAATTTGCTAATGGGTCAGGGTTGTGCAATAAATGGGCCATGATGGTCGCCTGTGATAATCCGGGGCCATTAATTACCGCGGATTCGCTCTCCTGGGGGATGAATTCTACGTGTATGCGCGGGGAAACTCAAAGTCAACAACTCGAGTCACGCGAACATGTTGCAGTGGTCAGCGAAATTTTAGATTTTAAAGAGCCATCGTTTTCTCATTGTGTCATTCGAATCGCTGAATGCTTAGCACACGTCATGAATGTCGTCAATCTTTTCTAGTTTGCTGGGGTGTCATCGTGGAAATTGATGAACTGCAAAGGGAAATATAAGTTTTGATTTTTAGGTATATGTCACTGATTTTTAGTGACATTATCAATCATTTCCAGTGACGTCGTCACTATTTGTGAAGAAAATGTCGATGATTCTCAGGAATCCATCGCCAAATTTCAGTAATTGGTGATAGATTTTTAAAAATCAATGACGATTTCCAGAAAATCAAAACTTTTTTTCCTTTTGTGCAATGCCTGTCGTGGTTTTTTCATTTCTAGTTTTGTTTCAATCATTTCAACTATAATATTTGTTGAATCTCAAAGTTAATTTGATTCATTTATTTCGAGAGATAGAGTGGGGTAAAATTTACACTGTTGATTTTTTTTTTAAATGTTATTGACTTTTTGTTTTTCATGAACTTATTTTTCTGAATTATGAATATTAAAAAAATGTCAAAAATGTCCATTTTGCCTCAGTCTTCCCTACTATCTAAAAACAAGGAATTACATGAAAATTTTAACAGTAGTTTTTAAAATAATTACAGTGAATTCGATTCAGGAGGAAAATTCCAAATTTTAGGAGGAAATAAAATGGAAATTTCCCGCTTTTCACTTGAATTTTTAAATAATAAATAAATAATAATTGAACTTGACTTTACGGTATTATAGATTTCCCCATAAATTGTGACTTTTCAATGACTAGATTTTCTGAAATTCCAGTGACAATGTGACTATTTAAAAATTTCCGAAACGTGTATCGGAATTTTTTCGATTTTTCAAATGAATCGACAGAAAGTCACGCAGATTTAACCTATCTATTTTTGAAATGACTGAGACCAGATCTATTTCGCTGGAATGATGCTATTTCCGGCGACTGGGGAATGCTCTCTGGTTCAATGGTGAAGCTCAACCCCTTGAAGAGCACAAAGTTACACATTTACACATAGTTGCCAAGTAGATAATGTACTTGAGGATATCCCAGTACCTCTCCCAGCTTCGTAAGGACTAAACCATAAATTTGCCGATTTTTAATCATTAAATTCTTCAATAAAATTGCGTCGGAAAAATTTACAATCCTTTAAATAACTATTTTGTTTAATCAGTGTCATTCAAATTCTGTTTTACAGAATTGTACTCTCTCCTTTCTCAAACCACCTCTTTATAAATAATGCACTGAAAAATAACAAAATTCACTCCTAAATATTTCGAAAGACATTAGTATTTTTTCAAAACATTGTCTTCTAACGAATGAAAAAATTAAATTTGCTTAAAAAACTAAAAACCGTTTTCAATTGAAAAAAAAACTAATTTTTTACCTACAATGATAAAAAGATGACATTTTAATCTCTGGAAATCAATTAAAAACATTTGTTTCCAGAGACATGTCACTGATTTATAGAAATCCATCACTAATTAATGATGACACTAAACATTCAAGAATCCTCCTGATCATCAATGATTTTTATCACTGAAATTTGATGATAGATTTTTTAAAATTAGAGGCAGGTCCCCAAAAATCAAGAGTATTTTCTCTCTGTGCCTTTTTGGATAAAAAAACGATAAACCGCATTCTGTGATTAAAAATATCGGCACGACTGAATAATTCTATTACACGCGGTTTTACCTCGCGAACGCCACAGACAGGGGGCTTTTTGCAGCGGTAATATCGATCCTCCAAACACAAAGAGTGCGAGCGAGAGAGACCGATGGGAAAAATAAAACGAACCGGTGTGACACATATGTAGTTTATTCACTACTTTGTCTTGAAATAACCGACACGTTTGCACAAGTCTCATGAGGGAATCAGAGAAACTAATAGACTTGAAATCATTCGTAATTCGCGGGAGTCCAATTGAAGAAATAAATAACCAGTTGTGATCATATGCGCACTGTCCTCTGGAGCGCTACCCAGCGGTTCTAAGACTTCACTTGGAATGAAAATCACCCACTGGGTGGGAGATGAGTGTTATCGGGAGTAATTGATATTCCAGATTTATTTATCTATCGATTACGACATGGAATCGAGCCCAATGGGATTCATGAATTCTCGGTAATTCGCGGGTGGATTTATGAATTTGATACAATGACTTGAGAAAGAATAAAGTGTCACACGCAGAGATTGAACAAATTTGCCGAGCGTCAAATGCAGAGATTTTATAAATTTTCGCGCAAATACTTCAACCATTGGTGTATCACACGCACACTTTTGGAAATTTTCGACAGATTGAAAATTCAGGAGAATAGTTGCCCGAATTTTCACGATCTTCAGTTATTTTCATTGTTGTATGAACCTGAGAAATCAAATTTTATTGAGTATTCAAAAAAATTGACTGATTTATTAATAACAAGATCAATGGAAATTCCATGTAAATTATTTGTTGTTAAAAATTTAAAAATTTTTTACTGGAAATTTTAAAGAGTAATTTTCTAACAGTGCAGATACATTCTGAGTATCGGCGTGTCACTTGCAATCACATTTTGAGTATCTGCGTGTTTCTTCTGCCTTTTGTCCGCAAAAATCCTGCGTGTGGTTCTCAGACAATAATAAATCTGGATAATAAAACAGAAATATCAATAAAATAAAGAGAAATTATACCGTCAGTAACGTATCAACGTCATGTAAAGACGAAAAACAATGCAAATATTCATAAAACGAAATGCATTAAGTTGAAAAATCAATGTCATGAATAATAAAAAAAGGAGGATTATATCATCAATAATCTGTAAACGTCGCATGTACAAAAAAAGAAAATGAAAAAGAAATTAATAAAGAGGATAAAATGAAGCAAAAAAATGAAAAAATGAAGAACGAAAGCAATAAAAAATAATGAGAACACATTTGTCGATAAAATATGAACCTGTTGACCTGAATAAAAAATAAACTCCGCGATTTTTCCACCAAAACTGCAAATCGAATTTTAAATGATTTATAATAATTGACATGGGGCGTGCTAGAAGAATAATCCGTCACTTGATACGTGTCACCTGAGTAAAAATGAGGTGTCAGGGAGACATTAAACCCAGACCGAGTGGAAACTTCCACGGAAGGACAGCGTTCTGTATCGATTGAAATTGTCACCCTTCCCCTGCCCCTATGCCGGCCCAAATTGCCGGTTCAGCACGTGACACCGGGCCATGTGCCCGTTAATTTTGGCTCCCCACGGCTAGAGATGAAAAGAATCGACCGATCTTTTGGTTGAACTAGCGTTATCCTCAATGGCAATCGCATTGTTAGAAAAAAAACTCTTGAAATTTTTATCCACGAATGATTCACATGAATTTCCCGTGTGCGCTGTTAAAAAAAATGAAATTTCATCGACAATTGATTAATAATTTTGGGGATGATGACATTGCATTCGATTTGACATTGAATTCGAGGAAACAAAATCAGGAAATTTCAAATTTCACTGAAAATTCAAAGAAAATTCCTATTTTTTAACCGCAGAAAGACGAAGATTCCTCGATTTACTTAAATTTTCAATGAAAACAGAAAAATTCCGCACCAAATTACGATTAATCGTACAAAATTTAATTAGTTGAACATTCAAGTATTTGAATTTGCAATGACAAAAGTCGCTGAAATTTCAGTGGAACTGAAATGTGATGAAAATAAAGTGTACCGGAAATTTCACCCACAAATTTCACCAATGAATTAATTAATTAATTCACTCCACTAAAAAAATGAGCTCTGCCTTGACGGAGTGGAGCAGATTTACTTGAGGGAAATTAACCAACTTGATAGAAAGAAATTTAATGTCTTTTATCAAAATTAAATTTCCGTCGTGATCATCAGAATTATCTCTAAAAAAATTCGAATACAAATCGCTGTAGAACGAATGTATTTGCCCGGAAGACATGTAAATGTCTCACGAGAACAATTACTACCACAAGAATTATGATGTTTTGATGAAAATTTTTTTTTTGTTCACAAGTAAATTTATTTAAAACGACAAAAGAGTTCTTCAGGGAAACAATTTTTCGGCAGAACTAAAGAAAATTCAATTCAATGCGATGATTAATTTTGAGAGATTTAACGAAATAAGTGGAGTGGGAATTATGTCGAGGGGAGAGTGATACTTCAGAAACTCTACTTCGATTGAATTTAGGCCTCTTCGGCCTTGGAAAATGTGTACTCGTGTGCGTGTGGATGAGATATTGTCTAGAGGGTTGCAGTCGACCAACTCTCGATCAATACGAGACACTCGGTTTTGCGTTACGCGAGAGAACTCGCAGCAGCCGAGATAACTAGAGTATCAACTAGAGATGAAATCTATAGTTCATATACGCAATACCCCCTTTCCCTGTGCACTAAAAGGGCGGAAGAATTTCGGGGTATTTTCTCACGTTTTTTCGGCAGGAGATACTGAAACCCTCAGAGTTTTTACCTGCGAAAAACCCTGCACCTGAAAGTTATTGACAATTCAATTGTTTAAATCGATTTTGCTCTAAACTGTTGAAGATGGAGAAAAATAGTTTAAACAAAATATGTTCTTTTTTGTAGAACTAAACATATTTGCTCTTGGGTATTTTTTTTCTACTCGAATTATTTAGGGATATCGAGGGTCATATGTAGAAAAATACCCTAAGTACGGAAAAAATCGATAAGAACACATACACTGTGACAAATCTTCCACTCAAAATTCTTAATTTTATGGAAAAATCCGTGAGAACTGTAAATTTCAATTTAATTATTCCAGGAGAATTAATGAAACACTGGGGAATTTTACAGGAATCTCTGTTCGAATTCTAGATTCCTTTGAGTCTTCAGGAAATTCCTTCAAAATTCCGGAAATTCCAAGAATTTTAAAGAAATTCTCTGAATATTCCAGGGAATTTGGCAGTGAATATTCATTTTTACTTGAAAATTCATGTAAATTGTGAAATTCCCGGCTTTTTGCCGCTAAAAAATTGTCACTTTACTTGCATTTTCAGAAAATTTGAAATTCCGTTGACTTTTTCCCCTTAATCGAGAATTCAAGATCTTTTTTGGGAAAGTCAGCCAAATTTTTCAAACAAAAGTTCAATCTTTGGCTCAATTAGTGCTATTGTACTGCGCAATTTATTCACGCACATGCCTGATGAAAATATCTGGCATGTGCGAAAATGTCAGGCGTAGGATTGACGAGTAGATTTGAAATCACGTGCGCGCAATTCAAGTGAATTCTCGTGAAGAGATTGAAATGCAAACGCTCACATGGATACAAATTTTTTTAACAAAAGTTTAATCTTCGGTTTCTTCATCTGAATGAAGAATATGGGACACATATTTTCATATTTCGATAAATATAAGAAAAGCTAATTAGTTACAGGAAAATTTTACGCAACAACACAATTAGTACTATTGTACTGCGTAATTTATTCACGCACATGCCTGATGAAAATGTCAGGTGTAGGATTGACGAGTAGATTTTTAATCACGTGCGCGGAACTCAAGTGAATCCCCGTGAAGAGATTGAAATACAAATGCTCACGTGGGTACAGCACGGATTCGAGAAATTTTCATTCATACTCGCCGGTGCTCATGAGTAGACAGAATAATTATAGTCTCAAGAATAATCGTGTCACTGAGTTATTTTCATCAATGATAGATTTAATTTTGGATTGGACATTCTATTTTTTCCATTTACTGCGGACGTGTGGAGTCTCAAGCGTCATTTATGCCTGGACGTGCCAATAGTAATCTTGTAATGACAAGAATGAGTTGCAGCCGGATTTCAAGTTTAAACTTTGAGTCTCACGAGAGGAATTACATTAAAATACGCATTAAACAAATCCGTAGATAATTCTGGAGGTTCATCGAACACGTTCCACTCTTTTTATTTACAAATTCTGATACGTGGAAATGCTTGCATTCATTGACGGTAAATGCGTTGCATTTTTTTATTGTGGAAGCCCAACGGAATTTTTCGATTCATCTTCAAAGGGTTTTGGGGATTGAAAGAGACTTGGGCATTGTGCGAGGGAATTGTTCTCGTGGGCTCTAACAGATCCTTCTATTCTATAGGGTCGAAGCTATTCAATTTATACGATTCAATGGTTGGAAAGTCGTTGAAAGAAAAAATGTGCGTTAACGTATTTTTCGTTTTTTTTTCCATTCTAATTTCCGAGTAAATTTCAACGGAAAGGGATCTTTAATTTTTTTAATACCACTTTCACAAAAAAATTGAATTTTTGAGAAATAAAATCTCCATTTCAGTCAAAAATCCACGTGAATTCGTCAATATTAGGCGGAAATAACTAAATAAAGCTATTATTTCATAATAAACTAAAATATTAGTTTCAAATGAAATTATATTATTCTAATATTATACTATTATTATATTATCAACAATTTTGTTAGACAGCGTCAAGAACGAATTTGTTCGCATGTAATAATCTTTCATCTGAATTAAACAAATCTCTCATTTAATTTCAAATTATTTATACCATATAATGAAACATTTGCATTTAAATATCTGAGTTTATCGATTTCCAATAAAAATAATGTTAAAATGAATGGAAAAATTTCAAATAAATATTTTTATTCAATTAAAATCCGTTATTTCTCAATGTGTAGCTGATTTTCCTCAACTTTCATGACAGATTCTGATTCTAAAATGACGAAATTTCCGGAAATTTATCTGAAAATGTCATTTACTAAACATTGTCTCAATTTTGTAAACACTAGATTGTCAAAGATTGCAATTATTCAAGATGATAGCAGTTTTTTCAGAACGAACAAACGACGACCTAACGATTCCTCAGGAGAAACAAATAAAACAAAGTCTTTCTTTTACGTGCGAGAGGCTATCTGAGGGGCTTCGTAGCCCCTCTTACATAAAAAAAGAATTTGTTCTAATTGTTTCTCTTAAGGAATCGTTAGTTCATCGTTTATTCGTCCTGAAACCACTGCTATTATCCTGAATAATTGCAAGAATTTTATTTTCTTTCATTTGATCGATAATCAATTATAAAAAAATACTCAAAGATTGCAAATATTCAAGATGATAGCAGTATCAAACAGTTTCATCCCAATTTCTCAGTTTTATGCTTCAATTTGGTGAATAATAATCAAACAGTCACCATTAATTTGTTAATTATTGCCATAAATTTTCAATTTCCAGGAGCATTCCTCATACCATTCTTCATAATGCTCATTCTCGAAGGCATTCCCCTCTTCCTCATTGAACTGGGCGTCGGCCAGCGCATGAAAGTGGGTGCACTCGGTGTATGGAACAATATCCATCCTTGGCTCGGTGGTATCGGTATAGCCTCCTGCATTGTCACGTTCTTCGTTGTACTCTACTACAACGTTATCATCACATGGTGCTTCTACTACCTGTTCAACTCCCTAACCGTAAGTTTAAACAATCCAAGAGTGAATAAAACTCTTGAATTTAGACCAATGCTAAATAACATTTTAAAAAATTCTACCCATCGACACTACCCCTACAACTAATCCATGAATATTCTTCTCCATTATCTGCTCACGTAACAAAACAAGGCTGTGACAAAAGTGTTTTCTCAACCCGATGTTAGGATGCAAGTGAGTAGAACAATCGATTTAACATGAATTATGAAAAAGAAGTGTGGTTTTTTTTCTAACGCGTGAGCACATTCTTTGAACTTTATAGAAACTCTGATATCACATTTCCCAAGAGATACCGGATATTTATCTCGGGTAAACCTACAGCTTGTTGGCTGAACAAACCAAGTAAACGTATTTATAATCTGTTTGATTACAGCTTTGCTATACCCCTGTATCAAATTACGATTATTGGCCTACTTCGTCCTTCATCCTGTCTTCTGCATCGCGTGTGGAAAAATACAATAGAAAATCATCGCTTCACTGGGGGAGAAAGTTAGGAAATTTAAAGCTCAGTGGAATTCATAATTTTTGAGCAGCAGGAGGACGAGAATTCTTCAAATTACTTGAATTTTTAATCACAACATAAATATTCCCAAATTATAATGAATTTCCAATTAATTGAAAATTCAAGAATATATTTACTTCGATTTCCCGGTGTTTTATCGAGTTTTCGTGGAGTAATTAAACTTAAAATTACGTTTCCATTGATTTTTCTTCAAATTGTGAATTTTCAATGGCGAAATTAGTTGAAATTTCAATGGAACTGTCACTTTCAGTCGAGAATTTTTAACAATGGGGAAAATTGCATCAGGCAATTCTCTGAGTTATTACCGAATTTTTGAATAAAAAATAATTAAACGGAAAAAATCAATCAAATTTTACAGAAAAATAAAAATCTATTGATTTTATCTATTGAGTATTTCTCTGTTGTTAAAAGAAATCAGGAGAAAACTGAAAGAATTCTGTAAATAACGCTTCAGAATTTTCTATCAGATTTTCGATTTTCAATTTTCAAAAACGCGCTTATTTGCTAGAAAATTATGAATTCTTTGTGGTTTCTATTGAAAATTTTCCAATTTCTCCGTGCGGATTTTGATCGACATTTTAAATAAAAAATCAGTAAATGTCGATTTCCCTACGGAGCTTATTCTGGTAGCAAAAAATTAAGCGAAGAATCTCTACAAAAAATCGCGAGCGAAGTCGCGAAAAAATAAAAATCTATTGAATTTGTTGTATCAAAAATTGGGAATAAATTATTAAAATTCTACTACGAATTCAACAGAAGCGCTCGGGTTTTCTATTCGATTTTTTCATTCCTGATCCCCGGCGGTTTTATTCTCCTCAATTCTATCCCACCCATTAATATTCATGTTTGTGTGCAACCTGATCGAGACAAACTCCTCAACAATTTTTCTAAAAACCCTGGATTCTATAAAAAATACACCAACAAATTGAGTAATTTATTTTAGGACACGCTGGCGTGGGCGAAGTGCCCGGTGATTGATGGAGTTGAAGTGGAAGAGTGTGTGAAAAGCTCATCCACCGCGTACTTCTGGTACAGAACGACCCTCGATGCTTCTCCTAGTATAGCAGAACCCGAAGGGCTCAAGTGGTGGATTGTACTCTGTTTGTTGCTCAGTTGGACGATTGTATTCTTCATTATGATGAAGGGAATACAATCATCCGGAAAGGTGAATGAAGACATCGGACTCGCCAGAATTATAAAAATTGAACGATTTTCAGAAGAAAATAATGTTAATTTTATATTCTTGTCTTTATTCAATTTCTAGGTCATTTATTTCACCTCTCTCTTCCCCTACATTGTCCTCACCATCTTCTTCATTAGGGGAGTGACTCTCAAAGGCGCCAGCGAAGGACTTGCTCACATGTATACGCCGAAGGTCACTATAAACTTTTCAGCTAATTCGTTGAACTTTCATCATTTCAGAATGATTTTAATTGATAAGGAAAATTTGGATGTAGAAGTTTTTTGAAACCTCATTTTGCATCAAAAAATGTTTCCTTGAACGTTTTTTTTTGTTTTCTTCATCCATATTTAGTCATGTTTAATTAGAATTCACAATGAAGTTGAGACAACTCTCTGGGAATTCAGAAAAGAAGTTTATAGTTTTCATAATAAAAGTTATAATTTTAAAGATGATAATCTATCATGTTTGGATTTTTCCTGCACGAATTCGTGGGCATGACTTTTACCATTTTTCTTTTTTGGATTTTGTAATTATTAAGAAGGAAAATTCATGCGGACTAATTTCGAGTTTACAGGAGAGATCTAAAAGCGCGAATATTCAGTGCCAAATTAGGCGAAATTTTCCATCATTTGAAAATTCAAGAATATATTTACCAGAATTTTCCTGATTTCTATTAATTTCCATGGAATAATTGAACTTAAGTTTACAGTTCTCAAGAACATTTCCGTAAAATTCTGAAATCTTCATGATGAAATTCCTTAACATTCCAGTGGAACTAAAATATCATGAAAAATTCCAAAAACTGTACCGGAAATTTCAGCCAAAAATTTTTCCAAGTGTATTCACGCCAGCTTGAACCAAAAATTACTAAAAACTAGAACCGTTTCTTCTGATTTTTGAACAAAATCCTCACTAGCTCCATATTTTACAACAAATGAAAAATTAATATTTTCCCAGAATTGTTTGCTTGCTAAATAATAACATCACGATCGCGTCCTGAAATTAAAATTTTTTCTCTGCACACAGATGGAAAAATTGCTGGAGCCAACAGTATGGCTGGACGCAGCGACTCAAGTCTTCTACAGTTTTGGTCTAGCCTTCGGCTCTCTCATAGCTTTCGGTAGCTACAATACCCCCGACAACAACTGCGTGCGGGACGTTATCCTCGTGAGTTTCTGCAACGCATTCACCGCGATATTCGCCAGTGCAGTTGTCTTCGCAATCCTGGGATTCAAGGCTGTGAGCAATGTCGACAATTGCCTAGAACTGTGAGTCCCTACTCCCCCGTATAATTCAATTTATCTTGATTCTCCTCCGGGTCATGCGAGCGTCGACGGTTCATCCCTCATCTGCGTCATATCGATCCCCGGGGGATGACGTTAGTCGGAATTCGCAGGCGTTTTTCATGTTTGATCAATGAGGGGTTTCGTTACTCCGGTGTTGCCCGAGAAAATTACCTGAATTAATTTTCTCCTGTTGTCGTCCTTTGACATTTCGTTATGTCCTTTGCAGGTCGAGGAAGTTGCTGACGAGTTCGGGATTCCTGAGTGACAACTCCACTAATGAAGAATTCGAACATGCCAGGATGACATTCAATGCAACTGCAGTTGGAGCGAATTTTTCGTTAGCTTCGTGCAGTCTCGAGGAAGAATTAAATACTGTAAGTTAATTACGTAACTACAACAACGTAATTACAACATAAATTTTCATTAGGATGAGTTGGAGAAGTACAGACGAGCTGTATAATTGATAAGAAAAACATTGAGTGAATTATTTCTAACGTTTTAATAGCTAATTCAATTATTAACAGTCAATTATTGGAAAGTCATTAAAATAATTCGGGATATTTTACACTAGGACAACTTAAGTGACAAGGAATAATTTGTTGTTGTAGAATAAATTATCAAAAATATTAATTTCTGTTTGCTTCATTTGAGAATAGAAAAAAAATCGGACATTTTACAACGATTTTATTATTTAAACTTTACAGAGCTAAATTTGAATCTCGATATTGAACCGTTAGAAAACATTTTAAAAAACTAAAAAAAAATTAGAGAGTCTGCTTCTGGAGGAAGATTGATAAACGAATTTGAAAATTACGAGACTTTTCTATAAATAATTTATAAACAATCCATTTTCCACCATAAAAATCATTTGTTCGGAATCGTAACAAATTTATTCATATTCAGAATTTTACCAGAAATCCATTTCATGCCTAAAAAAATTAGGTTTTCGAAAGTTTAAACAATGTCGATTTATTTCCAAACAACGACTGTTCCACAAAACAATTCTGTGTAAAATGTAATTTGAACGACGCTGAATATTCATGATTTTTTTCAATTTTTTTCAAATTCGATGATTGAAAATGGTTGAATCTATAGTGAAAGATCCTTGGATATCCTAAAATGAAAATTTAAGAATACATTCGTTTGAATTCCCCTCATTTCTATCAATTTTCCCAGTAGAAAGGGCCTAAAATTGACAGCGCCTATTGATTTTCCCCTGAAATTTTGAATTTTCAATGACGAAATTCGTTGAAATTCCAATGGAGCCATAACACGATAAAAATTTCCAAGAATATACCGGAAATTTCCACTGCAAAATTCTAAAAAATGTAAAAATGACTCCAGGCTGCCGAAGGGACAGGTCTAGCCTTCGTGGTCTTCACCCAGGCAATAGTGGAGCTCCCAGGAGCTCCATTCTGGTCCTGCATATTCTTCCTGATGCTCCTAGCCCTCGGCATTGGCTCCCAAATAGGGCTCCTCGAGGGTATGCTCTGCGTCATCTTCGACATTGACATCTTCAAGCGAATAAGAAAGCCGTACATAACTGCCTGCGTGTGTGTCACTTGCTTCCTCGTCGGTCTGATATTCTGCACTGGTGCCGGTGAATACTGGCTGAAACTATTCGACAGCTTTGCCAGCACCATCGGTCTCGTGGTTGTCGCTCTCCTCGAGATGATGTCGGTTGTCTTCGTCTATGGACATGAGAAGTTCACACAGGACATTGAGGATATGACGGGCTACAGGCCCGGATGGTACTGGCAGATTACTTGGAGATTCCTCGCACCTATGATCATGATTTGCATTCTTGTGTCCAGCATGTTCTCTATGGTAATGAACAGACCGCAGTATTCTGCGTGGATTGCCTCAAAGGTGAGAAATATTCATAAACAAATGCTTTATGGCAGCTGTTTTCCGACTAATAATCGAAGTTTTGCAGGATTTTTGCTTCTGAATGGAAGCATTGTATTCGTCAAATCGGAAATTTCGTATTTTTTGTGTCAGGATAACGCATTTGGGACTTAGGAATCCGAATAAACTATTTTTAGACCATGCCCGGATGTATAAATGCATGTGTGCATTTATGTGTGTGATAGGTGCAAAAGTAATTGTTTAGATGAACATAATTACGATTTAAAATATTCTTCCCAATGTTATCTTGACCGAGTTTGATCATGAGATTGATTGCATCATCCGTTATTGAAAATTTTTAACATTGGGACAATGTTGAATTCTATGAATCATTGGATTTAATTTAAAATATATTCTCATAGGAATTTCATTCGGAAACAAATGGCTAATTTATTGGCAAAAATGTGTGGACTATATTGGGAGGAAAAAAACGGCCCACTTGTTTTTTCCTGGATATGAACATTGAAAAAAGAAATGTCACGTAAAATTGTTGTTGAGCATTCCATTTGTTTTTTTGCTGATATTCAATAAAGATGTTCAATCGAGATTTTTAATTTTTTAGGCGACTTATTCTCTTTATATATTTTACGAAATGGAATAGATCATTGAAACTATTGGATTGTATGAGATATTCGATTTTGTAGGCCAAAACATATATGTATTCACTTTTTTAAACAATGAAAAATTTAACGTTGGCGTAATGTTAAATTCAATAAATCGTTGAATTCAGTTTAAAATACATCGTCATATAAATTTCATTCGGAAGTAAATTGCTAATTTATTAGCAAAAATTAATTAACTATTTTGTGACGAAAGGAATTTCCCGCTTGTTTTTTCCCGATATTTAATAAAGATGTTCAATAGAGATTTTTTATTTTTGAGCCAACTTATTCTATTCAGATATTTTATATCAATGGAATAGATCATTGACACTATTGAATGGTCTAACATATTCAATAAATAATTCAATCTAACATATATTCAATAAATAACATATTCCATAAATAATGAAAAATTGAACAAAAATCATTTTTTCATTATTTTGTTCAACAAAAATCCGTAATTAATTCGCAGGGTGCAACAGAGTCATTGTTCTACCCCGACTGGGTAATGGCTATCGCCATAGTGATTGTACTCGTTGGTATCGCTCCAATACCGATAGTATTCCTGCTCCGGAGGTTCCAATGCCTCAAACTCGATGTCAATATTCATCAGGGCAGTATTCGGCGGATCGAGACTACTGTTTCCACCAAGGAGATGATGGGTGACATAGATGTAAGTGTCCCTGATTTTTTCGTTCTCATAAATTTTGGTGAGAATATCGAAACATGCTGTCAGAAATTTTTTTTTAATCGGTAAGCGTAATGAGACGTTCTTGATTATGGATTTTAGATCTTATTTACCCTTTTGTCATTGTGATTCAGTGGCGAACTGGTGGAACGTAACAATTGAATCGCAAATTATAAAGCAATTCCGCAATTTCAAATTATCAAACGTATGAAAAATTTATATATTTCGGAACTAAATAGTTACTTCAAAGGATTTCTTACAATATTTCTCTGTAAATTTCATGATTGTAAGAATACTTGAATCATTGGTAAACTTGCAGAAATGAATTCGTTTTACTACACTTCGAATTAAAAAATGAATGAAGTGGAAGTTGCAATGGAATTTCCAATGTTGTAAATTTAAATTCAATTTCAGATAGAATCGTTCATAGAATTGATTATTCATCTTGGAAATTCAGTAAATTTGACTTTTTCATGAATAACAACTTGAACTGACGAATTCATTACGAAAACTAAAACTCAAAACTGAAACTAAAAACTAAAACTTGTTTTCTCCTTGCAAATTAATTGTGAAAATTGAACATCACATTTTCAGTTAAATTTTCAATAGATTGAAAATTCCGAGAAATGGTCCCCTAAATTACCCCAATTCCAGTACCAAAAAAAATGAAAATTTCAAGTGAACTGATATTGATTTGTCCACAATTATTCAATTCATCAAAGATATTCATAAGATCGTCGACAATAAACAGTATCGAGGTAATAAAAAATCATGTGAGCGAGTTATCGTTAAAAATTTCCAAATTCTTTCCTTGAAATCTGCAGCGAAGCGGCAAGAGGGTTCAATTTTGACTATCGGCCAGTTTTCCATGAATATCTCGAAATCTAAGGGAGATAGAAAAATTTTTGTCATAACCTTTTTTGTAGCCCTCAGGCTGCTCTACAAAAAAACTCATAACAAAAATTTCGTTATCTCCCCTAGATTCGGAGATATGCCTCGAAAACTTAGCTGAAACTCAAAGGGCTAAATCGACTTGACCCGTTTTACCGCTGCACTACTGAAATTTCAGGAGTAATTATTCAACAGCAGACGTTTCACTATTTCCCAACTGAATCATCCCCCAAATGGTTATTTGACATGACTAAAATTTCAAGATGGATACGGGTAATGGGGTGCAAAGTTGGATGTAACCCAACAGCCACCAGTCGTAGGTAAGCACCCCCTCGTCGGTGGTAACATCCGTAGGATGTAGCCCTCCCAGTCTGTCCTCAACGTGAGTTATCAGCAAGTTCTTTCCTTATGAATGCAGCAGTTAAACAGATCATCAAATTAATCTATTCAACCTTGATTCAATCATACGATCATGTATCACCCGCATCGACGGAATCAATCAACTCGAAACATTATCATTCTGACAGCATTATTTACCTGCTACCTGGTTTTACGCATGTATTGAATGCATTCTGTTTCAGATAATAATAAGTAATTTAATTGTGATGGCTATTGGAGGTGTTACGCATGCAGCGTTTCCTGCGATAATTCCCCTCGCAAAAAATCGATATCATGATTCATTATATCATATCTCATATCGACGAGACTGATAAGATTTCTAAAACTTAAAAATTCAAGGTGAAATGTTCAGCTGATGGAAATGGCTCATTCCATCAATTGCATTTAATTTTTCGTGTAATTTGCCATTTTCATGGAATTCTTTCAAATAATTTTCATTATTTCTAAATAATGTTTTTTTAATTTTTAAATATGAAGATTGAAAGAAAAAAAAATCTCAATAAATAAATTCCACGGAAAATCTAAATTCAATCTATTGTTTAATTATAATATTTAAATATCATTCATTCGCAGCTTTCATTTATCAAGTAACTGCTGGAATGCCGAAGGAATGTTGAATAAACTAACAATTAAAAATTTCGTTATTGAAATGAAGAAAATTCGAGAAATAATTTTGATAATTCAAAATTTCCAGATTGACGAATATCAGGATAGACTGGAGGACTTTCCAGAAGAGGAGGAGGGCAACAGCGACGACGATAACACCATAGCACCTCAGAATTACAAAGCCATAGCATCCAAAGAACACCAAGGTAAAGGATTGAAAATGAGACGTATGGATTACTGAGCTAAATCCCTGGGAAGACATGTAAATTTAATGTGTGTGGGTGTATGATGAAATTTGTACAGTAAAATGTGATATTTTCGTGCATTAAAACGCTGGTGGCTATGGTTTAATCATCAATGAGAGAATTAAACTGCCAAAACGAACTCAATGACATTTTCTAATGTTACGGAATGTCGCACTGAAGGATTATACCCTGGGCAATAGAACTGAGATTATACGAACAAAATGTTTCATTCACAATTTTAATCCAAAACATTGTAATTTAATTTACGGTTTTCACGTTAATTATTAATGTTCGTAATGAAATGTAAATAGAATATTTTACGACGAAATGCGACTGGAGAGTCCGTACAAAGGAGACAAATTGTAATCGATTATACTTGGATGTTCGAGGAATTTTTAAAAAGAGTTGATTTTGGTGGGGGATGACCACTGACGAGTTTTTCTATTTCAATTTTTTAGATTGTTTGATAACTGCGGAATTAGGTCCCGAGATATGGGAGCGCGAGACTGTGTTCAGAATCTGACTTTGCTATCTTCATCAAATTCACCATCGGGTGTTGATTAGCAATTACTTAGCAGCTGTAGAATCGTTCTTCACCTTTCAATTTTAAGACATTTTGGTCGTTCATTGGTCATCCTGGGATGATTGTACCTATGTACATAATTCGATGATTGAGTGATAGTTGAAGACGATGAGGAGAGGGTGGGGTAAAATGGGCACTTTGAAAAGAGGATGGAATTTTTTTTCTTGAAAAAAATGTTTTTTGTTTCTGGAGAATTTCAACTGGGCTCAAATGATAAATTCGTCTCTGCGAATGAATACTGTTTGAAGAGTGTCTCTGCCACTCCACTTTCTTCCAGATTCAGTAAAAAAACATTGGATGATTGAATATTTTGTGATTGAATTGAAACGAAGATAACATCGACGAATAATCGACTACTTAACAGATGTGGAATCGTTTTTTATCTTTAACTTCCAATTTTAAGACATTTTTGATCGTTCATTGGTCATGCTGGAATGATTGTACCTATGTACATAATTTGATAATTGAGTGATAGGTGAGGACGATGAGGGGACGGTGGGGTGAAATGGACACTTTCGAGGAGAGGATGATTTTTTTTCTTGAAAAAAAAAAAAAAAACATTTTTCGTTTGTGGAGAATTTTAACTGGGCTCAATAGACAAATTCTTCTCTAAGTTACGAATATTTTCTGAAGAGTGTCCATTGCACTCCACTTTCTTCTACAATCAGTCAAGGAACATTGGATGATTCAATATTTTGTAATTGAATTGAATTAAATGACAAATTAATCATTCAAGATTTAAATGCTTCAGTTTGAACACAAAATCTTCCGGGAATGAATTCCTTTTTTTATTCCACTCAATCACACAATTCCTGCTTATCCTCATATTAATTTTAATGCCAAGTCAATGGGAGCAAGGACAAAAATGAATTCTGAATTAATGATTATTCATTCTTTCGTTAAATGATGAATTGAAAAAAAAACAAAAATGCGAATTACTAAGTTCTTTGAAATTCAAGTGAAACTACAACTAGATAAACAAGTTCAACCACAATTTTCCAACTCAACTCGTCATTTTTTCCGGAACCCCTTTAATTTCATTATCTTTGTCTTGCTCCCGAATAGCGCCAGTACACAGAATATTATTCAACGAGACTCATGTTTATGAGTTCATAAGCTTCTTCCGATACGAAGGGGTAATAATTTCAAGGATTTATGGAAATTCTGATGCATCCCTACACCCCAGGGAGATTTTACACCCGACTCAATCGATTCTACAAGTCTTTCATTACGAATAATGTTTTAAAGAGAGAGCCCTGTTGAAAATTTTTAATGGAAAATCCTCATAAGCAAAATCTCCTTTAAATTTTCACTGAACAAAAAAACATTCTTCATGAACTGAATATCCACAACGAATTGTTGAGATAATCTACAGTTCTTTCGTTATTTCATGATTTTTTTGGTCGACTTCACGAGCTGAATTGACTATTTATGTTAGTTTGTATTCAGCAAATGATTTTTACTGAATTTTTCGATAAAAATAAGGAAAAAAAAAGAATTTTCGCAAAACATTTCTCATTATTGTGAACAATTGAAAAGAATTCATTCCCCGAAGAAAGTAATTGTCATTTTATTTGAATTTCTGGGGAAATTCAGGAATTCTGAATAATTTTCCGCGACAATTTCATTCGAAAATTTTCAACTGCGCAAAATAAATAATTCCTCCCAATATTTTTTCCTATTTGGTTTAAAAGCGTATTTATGAACTTATTTTATGCCATCGCGATATATTTTAAGTATCCGGAAGTATTGAAGAAGGCGCTCAAGGTGTCAAATAAAATATGGGAAAAACCACGTACCAAACAACCACGTAGTCGATAAACAAACAAAATCGCAAAAATATTGTACACTGAAATACTATATATTTAAATAAATGCTTATTTATTGCGGAATGCTCATTGTGTCATTAATTCATTGCACGTCATATGTGAACTCTCAGTCTTTTAAATAAATTTTTAAAAAGGCGGAAAACCCCCAGTGGATTCACCAGGAAATTTTACTGGACTTATATTAAAAATTCTATTTCCTTCGCCTATTATTAGAAAAATTTGGCAGGTTTTTTGACGTATTTTTTTATCGTAAAAATTTTTAATAAAAAAGATTCTATAGAAAAAAATCAATCGACTAGGGAACCTCTTGGCTCCATTTTTCCAAGTTTCTTTGCTTGAATTTTGGAAAATTGATATCAATAAATTTTCTATAGAGAATAAAGTGACGTAAAAAGATTAACAAACATGGATTTAATTTTATAAAACATGTTCCGTTGAATATTTCTATATATAAAAAATACGCAGAGCAGCTGTGAAATTTTTAATAGAGTTAATAGAATGAATATTAGATTTTAAAACCTAACACTAGGTTTTTTCTATGAAACTCTTTCGTACGTGCATGCATTAGCAAATATTGTTTTCCTTATCGATCATTATTCACGAGGATGTTTTCATCAACAACACAAAAAAATCCAAACCGTGCATTAATCATTTCCTATATTCATTTCATCATTTCCTATATCGTCCAATGAACTGAATTTATCGACACAAATAACGGAAAAATACTGTTTACCAAACATTTCTCTCCATCTGAACGATTCAGGAAGAATCCATTCCTAAATAATTTTCCTCAATGACATTCTGAATTCCCAAACTCGTTGCAAAAATTAAACATCCCATTGAATTCAGTAGCGAAATGGTAAAACGGTTTAAGTCGACTTATCTCCCAGTTGAGTTTTTGAGGAATATTTCCGAATCTAAGGGAGATAGCGGAATTTTCGTAAGAGCATTTGTTGTTGCTCTCAATCGGCTGTACAAAAAAGGTCATAACAAAAATTTTGCTATCTCCCTTAGATTCCGAGATATTCATTGAAAACTGGTCAATAGTCAAAATTGACGTGTACCGTTTTACCACTTCGCTACTGAATAGAATTTCCGAAAGAATAACTGATGAATCTACAATGCGCATCGTCCATCCTCAAACCACGCGGCTATCAACGACTTCATCAACCACTCAAAAAACTCAAACCATCCATTAATTTATCATCACTTCCCACATGGTTCAATAAACAAAAAAATGTGCTCGTAGATTATACCATTCCCGGAAAGTACTCCCCACGAAGTGATAAAAATCAAAGAATCGATAACGCTATGTCCTCCCCATCAGCGATAAACATGAGTTACCTGCCCCGACTAGAAACAACTATGTTTCACTTTGGGCGACTAGTCGGCGATTAGACGTTCTCATCTCAACTTCAACAATACCTTACCTCGTCTGGCGAAATAGAGAAAAAAACAACACGTGCGATAAACGTCTCTAATTGGTAGCAAAGATAATGTCCAACGTCGAGATATCGGAATAAAGTATACTTGTCAGATGCGTTCGAAACTTGGCGCTGTGCTGATACCGCGCTTCGCACGCTCTTCACTACTGCTGTGCTCTATAGTTTTTAAAATCTCGGAGTTAAGAATAATAAATCATCGAGTGCGCTGACATGGTATGTAAATATCACTTGTAAATTTCACTCCATTTTTCAATAAAATGACGTACGAACATTTGAGTTTTTTTATCTCAATTAGACATTTATTCTACCAATAATTTTTAACAGAAATTGTTGGCACCGAGTTTTCTGGGTCTTTCCGCTGTATTTTTAATCATTTCTGGTAACAAAATGCAAGAAAAAATACGCGTAATAAATAGAAAAATTAATATCTATCAATTTTTTTCTATCGAGTACCTATTAAGACATTTCATTATTAATTCAATACCATTATTTCAATAAAAAAACCGTTTTTACAAAAAAAATCCATTGGAAATGTTCTTCTACGTGATTTTCATTACAGATACATGACAGAAAAAAGTTAATAGCAATTTTTTAATAGAAAATTCTTGGAGATTAATGTTTTGAGTTGTTTTCGTTTAATTTTTTCATTTCTTCCTCATTACAAAATGCAAGAAAAAAACCTTGGAAAACTCATGCCCGAGAATTTCTACAGAAAAATCTTCACCTGCCGATTATTTCAATCAACACATTTTAGTAAAAAATCCCCCAGAAAATCCCATAAATTTCAAAACTATTTCCGGCAAATTCCTCACGCTTTCCACTGGATTATTTCGTGTTCACCGTTTAACTTATCACATTTTCAATCCCAAACCAAAAATAGTATGCGCTTATCTATGAAAGACACCCATTTAATAACATTTAATGAGATAGCTCTTTCGAATAAAACCCAGTGTCAATCAATGTAAAATTTCAAACGCATCAAAGCCAAGTTGTTATGTTGGAACTAATTTCGTGAATCCCACATCTCAATGCAATTTTTCCCGAGTCTAGACTGCATTAACTCATGCAACAGATCTTACGTATCACTAGAAATAGCAGCAGAAAAGGCGGGAGCCCTTCTGGCCTCGATTGAACGCACCAGACGTCTATCAATTGATATATCCACGTAAAATTGTTGTTAACTAATTGTAAGTGGGTGACATTAGGTGTTGTTATTATAGCCATTGCGTGCCCGTATTTGACGTAGAGTGGGACACATGTGTCCCTTGATTTCCTTGATTTTCGAGGTCTTGAGGGCACGTGCCCACAGCTAAAATTAATCAGAATTATTGCGTCACATTTGCATAGATGAAATGATCGGCTGAGTTCTCTCGACAGTTCTTGGAGACTATTGAGTTGAGAATTAACTCGGTTGAATAGAGATTTAACACTGCACATGCCGCACATCGGCTATTTTCAATTCTAAAAACTATTCAAAACGTCGTTCGTTATCAACTACATAAAGTCAATGCTATTTTCCAGGTATTCACGGACAATTCGCTAGGGGAACGTAGAGGAGTGTGACGATGATGTCGAGGAAAATCCACGTGAATCACCAGTTGATAAATCTTTATCTAGAATTTTTTCTATTATCTGTTCTACTTGTGGAGAATTGTGACAGTGCGATATGGCGACGGGGGTGGGGTTTGTAAATGTTTTGAGAAATAAGGAAATGAAGGACGCTGGGGGTGATGACAGTGAGTTTTATGTGAATTATCAAGGGAGGACTTATGAAATTAGTGGATTTTTGAAGAATCATCCTGGGGGACGACAGGTGCTCAAAGCGTATGAGGGATTGTCCCTCGATCGGGCGTTGGATAATGTGCCGCATTCGGCAGCCGCTTTTCATCTATTCCAGGAATTTGAAATGAGTCATAGAAGAGATTATGAGGATATAGAGGTGAATGTGGAAGAGAGATTGAGGGAGACTGAGGGAATCGAAATGAAGAATATAAGAATTAAGGATATCCAAGTACTTTGGCTATTTTTTCTCCAGTGAAATGATTTTCTACTTTTGTTGTCGAACATCAGAGCTTTCATTTGAGCCCCCAATCATCTACAATGATTTTATCATTTAAACTTTGCATGTCTGAATTTGAATCTCGATATTGAACTGTTAGAAAACATTTTTGAAATCTGAAAAAAATTAGAATGTTTACTTGTGGGGGAAGAATGATGAAATAATTTAAAAAGTTCTTTTTTTTAAGGATGACTCATTAAATACAATTAATTAAATAAAATTAAATAAGTTCAATAATTTCCACCAAAAAATAATAAAAATACATAGAATTTCGAATAAAGAGTTTCTTTCCTTTTAAATGCGCTATTTGTCTTTTTAAAAAATTCCGTTATGACACTCAATAATCAAAAATCAATATCTTCCAGAATTTAATCGACTGGAGTGCACCCCTTCTCGGACAAGTTGCATCCCTACGAGATCGATACTGGGAGTGGGTGAATCTCCCAGTGAATCGACCAATTCGCCTATTCAAATCGGACACTATGGAAATACTCACAGTGACACCCTGGTACCTAGTTCCACTCGTATGGATACCAATCTGTACATATTTCCTTTATCTCGGTGTATCGACTGATGTTTCCGGTCCTATCGGTGATTGAACATTTAAACATTCAAGTCTGTCAGCGTTGAAATTTCCCGTTCAACGCAAATATTGAAAATCCCCTATTCTACAAAATTCTCTTTATCTCTTCTAGCACATTCGCTCGCTAAGATTGTCCTCGCGTTTTCGTGGGGATTTTTGCTGTGGACTTTTTTAGAATACACATTGCATCGAAAATTATTCCACATGAAGCCGCCAGCCGATTCCAAGATACTCATATCTCTTCATTTTCTTCTTCATGGCCTTCATCACAAGGTAAAAACCAAGGACAAATTATTGTAGAAGAAATAAAAATTATTCTCATCAATTTCTCTTTACAAAATTGAAGAAAAAATACTTGCAGAACTCATGCGCAAGAATTTTTTAAGAAAAACCAACATCGATCGATTTTCTTTCACTAAATATCTATCAATGAAGTGCCTCATTAATGCAATAGAATTATTTTAATAGGAAACATTTTCTCTAAAACAATCCTGTTGGAAATGTTGTGCATAACATTGGAAATAAGGAATTTAAAATAATTTTTTTTTTCAGGCACCTTTTGACAATAGGAGACTAGTATTTCCTCCATTGCCAGCAATATTCCTGGCTTGTGTATTATACAATTTATATCAGCTGATGTTTCCAGTATTTATGTTGAATACTGTAGCTTCGGGAACCATGACAGGTACACAAAATAGAGATTTTCAGAAAAATTAATTAAAGATTTCCTTTGAATTTATTTGCAACGTTTTCTTTTTCTCAATTGAAAAAAACAAAATTACAGGATACCTATGTTACGACTTAATGCATTATTATTTACATCATGGGGCGCCCAACGCAGAGACATATTTATACACCATGAAGCGATACCACAATTACCACCACTTCTCACATCACGACGAAGGTAAAATCATCGACTAAATGAGTCAATACAATGTCCACCGAATTCCAATGATTCTATTATTGAAATTTACATCATCAGGTTTCGGTATAAGCAGCAAACTGTGGGACTACATCTTCGGATCGTTAATTGTACTAAGGCAATTGAAAAAGGCCATTATCTGGTAGACAAATTTATCTCTGCCAAAGTTTTTTACAATTAAAAAAATTGATTTCCATCAATGAAGCCAAGACTATCATTAATTTTGTTAATAAAACATTAGATAATACACATGTTATGTTACTTTAAGAAAAATATTAATCAATTCCTTGTGATCGAGGTTCGTGACATCAGTTCCCTCCTCTCACGAAGATAGTAACGAATTCACCCTGATTTATAATTATCCTTAAATCGCGATTAGATAACTTTGATTCTTAATGAATAATTTAAGTACGTTTGAAGGAACGAGATTAATCCATTCAGTTCAAGGAATGACAATAATGCATTCGAGGTAAAATGCAACGAAGAGGAATTACTCTTTATGTTTGAGATTAAAAATACGAAATTTGTACTGATACTGTTCGTTGTGACACCAGGTTCAAGAGAATTCACCAATTTTTCTCAGTGTAGTTAAGTACGGCTTGAGAAATCACGAAAAATGTAATTTTTGAGATGCAAAAAATCTGATCTTGCTCTTTTAATTGCTTACAAATATTTTAACGATATTTACATTTTGACATTTTTTGGGTAGAGGGTTGTGGGTGGACTCAAGTGAGATTCAATCAACAATTGGGTTTTTGCATGAAATTGGGTTAAAAATATTGGACACTTATTTTTTTGTTTCGATAAATAATGAGAAACAAATAATAAAAGACGAAAATTCTTGCTTTTTATTATTTTTAAAAATAAAAAAATATGAATGTAATATTTTCCACCCAATTTGCAATTTCATCGTATTATTTTATGAATAAATTGCATGCAAAAGCCCAATTATGACGTGGACAAATGCATATTTTGAGCAAACGGGGGGGGCATTCAATCAGAGATCAGCAGAAAAAGAATTCTCAATATGATTAACCAATAACATGATCATATGAATAGTTAATGGATAGAATAAAACTCTCGAAATAAATCGGAATTTCTTTGTCATCAGATTACTAATGCTTAATGGGAAAAAATGAATTTCGGTTGTTTTCGTAAGAAATAATGAAGTTTAATTGAATTTTAATCACCTCGTGATTTGGTAATGACACTGATGCTAATTGGATTGAATAATTCGAATAGTCAACTGACTACTCATTTCATAAGACCATGAAAGAAAAATATTCATTCGTCATTCGCAGTTAATCGATTGTTACGTGATCGTGGTGAGAATATTACTGATAAGATTGACGCCGATCTCTGAATGCAATCGTGGAAACCCACGTAAAATTGGATTGTTCGGATTTTTTACGCGGAAAATGTTGAATTGAAGTCGACTGGGATTCATCAATGTCAGGGGATGGGGAACAATTGAAAATTATCGATTGAAACATTCGTTTGTTGAAACTGTCGGATGTTATCAGTGCTAATTTGGTCTATGAACAATTCCCATTTTTCTCTTTGGACAGAATTCAAGAATTTCTTCGAATTTCATTAGAACAGTTACAATTCATCGAATCTAAGAATTTCACTTCTATTACAGTCAACTGACCTGCATGAACTCCAACTAATTGAATTTTTTTTGCATTGAACTTTCCATTGCTAATCAGCAAAATTGAATAAAAAACATTTGAATCATTCTTCAAACCAACAGGATACGTATCCAATATTTCTCCTCCAATTTTCATAGACGAAAAGAAATTCTTTCGAGAAATTCTAGTGCTAATAAGTAAAATTTCTGATTATTACTAAGAAATTGTGTAGACTTCTGGTAAAATTCCTGGGGTGTTCTATGAAAATTTCGCCCCTTTTCCAAACAGAATTTGTCTTTGTGTATATGAACTTTCCATTGCTAATCAGCAAAATTGAATGAAAAACATTTGAATCATTTTTAAAACCAACAGGGACACGTATCCAATATTTCTCCTCTAATATTCATAAACGAAGAGAAATTCTTTCGAGAAATTCTGCTGCTAATAAGTAAAATATCTCATTATTACTGATAAATTACATCGAGACTTCTGGGAATATCCCTGACAATTTCGTCCTTTTTCCGAAGTGAATTTTTCTTCGCGTATATAATCATTTCCGGGGTGAATTGGTAGACTAGAATAAATAATTAAATGGCTTTCCATCAATGTATGGAAGCGATTCAGCAAAAAAAATGCACGTATCCGTTTACCAATTCACGCCAGATTTCATCCAATAGAGAAACGTCTTGTTGGAAAAAAAATTCAAAAAATACAGTTCTTCCCAGTCTAATCCGCTGAACCGCAGGCTTGCAATCTCAAAAAAATAACGATAAAAAACAGCGCTGTGCCTCGACCGCCCCACCCCATCAATTAAACCTCAAAAATTTCCGTCTCCTCTCCCTTCTCGACATCACAGCACAAGCCACGAAAGATTTTCCCCAAGAATTGTCTCACACAATTCGCCTTGAGTATTAATCATGTAGCATCAGCCTTAACATTTTTCCTCCCCATACTCAGCTGTGGAAAAGTGCTCTTATTCTGAATGGGATTGAGCTTCGAGGATAAATAAATAAATGCCTCGTACAAGCTCTGTCTATCCATAACATTCACCTCAAAATGTCTTATCTTCTCTCTCGTGCACCAGTTAACAGCCCTCCCCGCTGTATTCTCAAGACTCTGAGTGTCACTGTCAAATCCAGTTCTATTGCCAACAACCACAACCGTAATCTCCTTCTTATCTTTATTCTTATCGATATCTTTTTTCAATGGAAACAGTACGTCTAGTGACTCGGGTTTGGCAGTGTCGTAAACGAGGACGTAACCGTCAGCAAAGCCCAGGTAATGTCGTGCCAATTGCTGGGCATTTGTGTTGGCATGGTGTTCATCGAGACCAGCTGTATCGTAAAACCTTACTTTCTCTTTGGTTCCGCGATCAGTCTCTATGTTCGCCACGTAGATATCCTCGATTGTGGGGTGAATCTCCTGGTATTCAGGCGGAGAGGAAAGAGATTCAATTATTGGGCTCATCGTCGTGATGAAATGACCTACGCTATTGGAAATTTATCGAAATCTCGGTGACAAATGCACTTCAATTTTTAATATGGATTTCATTTGAGATCAGATAGTTCAGAAAATTCCTTATAGTTCTTGAAAATTCAATAAAACAGAGGTTTTCAATAACAATGAAAGCTTGAATTTTTTAACTAATTGTGAAAAATTGCAGAGACAAAGATTTTCTCTCCAAACGTTAAAGATTTTAAGAAACTCACGCTTCTAGCAGAAATTAAATTGATAATAAAAAACTGGTTAATTGATTCCACAAAAAAAATTCCTACAATTCAGTACTAAAAATCTACTCATTTTGAGTCAGAAGAATTCGTGAATTAATTTGTATTTTTAAACAGAGAATATGCAGAAGGGATCGAATTCTGGAATAATTGAACATTTATTCAAAATTAAAGGAGTCAAGATGTCAGGCAACATTTCTTTGAATAACAAAGGATCAGTATATTAATTCCAGAACAACAATAATCGTCAATTTAAAAATGGAAAAGTTCTCAATTTGACAATTCAAATGTTCTTCATTCAAGAACCTTGAGGTTCCTATTAAAAAACCCGAGTTTTGAATACCTGAACCAAGATTTCTTCAAAACAAGAGAAAATGCACCTCAGTTTAAGTACAATTGCACCAGATTTCCGTAAAAATTTTCTTTAAATAAGTGAAAACTTCACATATTTTCGACATTTTTACTGGAAATAGGAGATTTTTTACTTTTTATGAACATCAAAATAGAAATGTCAAACATTCAAGAAATCAATTTCCCTTGAAATTAGAAAAAAAATTCATGTTCATGTTTTCATGTTCTAAAATACGATCCAAAAAATCCTAGGCTAATGCCACTAACGATTAACTATTGCCTCAAGGGACCAAAACTCTCGGAATAATTTTGAGAACATAGATCAACATGGAAAAATCAGAAAACCCAATCCTTTGAAATGAAAAATCCCAGGAATCAACAGACACCCTAACCTACTCGATCCACTCCAACTTACGGTCTTGAGCGTGACATTTCCGTATATCAGCTGCTCCAGCAATGCCGTCTTCCCGACGCCCTTCATCCCACACACCACGACCTTCGTAGTTTTCCCCATCTCCCCAAATGACACTTAGAAAACCCTAGCTACAGCCTTTTGATCGACTTGTTTGGAGATTCCCTGGCTAATTCAACTGCATGCCAAATGTTTTGATGGGGGAACAGGTGGGGTTAACGGGTGTATGTGGCACTTCACTTGACCCCTCCATATCCAGGTGCCGCGATATTCCGTTCCATAAAATCTTTGTACTCACCCCCTGCCTCTCCAGACGATCCATTTCCGGCGATTTTTCCTCAATTCTACGGCGAAATCCATCGATTATCGACGCACAACACTTCGTCACATTTCAATCTGTACTTTTCTCACAATTTTTGTTTTTCCGTTGAGGAATGGCGAGCGTCACTGTCCCGCGCGCGGGAAAACAACTGACGAGAGTCTCTCCACTCACTCGCGCAACGCGTGCCCTTCCCCCTCTCCGCAACAACTGTCGTATCGCCGGATAACTCACGACTCGACTGCACTCCGGCGTACGTCGGATTCAGTCCTATTTATTTCCTTGAAAGTAATTGAAGTCAATTTATTGCCCTCGAGATTATATTCGTGCGAAGTTGAACCCGTGAGTTATGATAAATTAGGCTGATCAGTTGCATTGTGATAGAGTGCGGGGTGGAAGTGTTTCAGGGGATCAGCTGAATTTCTTTGACGTGCGGGTTTTTACTCGAGGGGCGGATCATGGGGGAGAATGCACCCGGGGATGGTAAGGAGTCTGATAAATACTCGATTCTGCTGCCTACTTATAATGAAGTGGAGAATTTACCGATAATTGTGTGGCTCATCGTCAAGTATTTGGATGGAGTGTGAGTATGAGAATCTAACCTCTTCAGTATTTGATCTTATGTTTTTAACAATTTTGAAAATTGTTTGTTAAATTTAGCATTTCTGTTGACAATTCAATGAAATTCAGCTTTTTGGGTAGAATAATTGATGATTTTTCAATGAATATTTCAAGGAATCTTCTACAAATCAATTGCTCTCCCTTTTTTTCAAATCCAAGGATCACCAGTAACATTACTTTTTAATAATATTAAACGAAATTATACGGAAATTACTATTTTTTTTGTGTTACTTGGAAATTAATGAAATAATTTATAATTTGAATTGTCGATCAATTGTCAAGTAAATAACAAGTTTTTCAAATTTCTTAAGATGATTTTCGATTACCGAAATAATGGCAATCGAACTGCCTCACTTATTGATTGATAATTTATTTGAAAAATTGATTAATGATTAATTTAACAATAAAAATTTGCTATACATTATTAACTGATCTCATATCTATTAAAATAACATTATTAACATTTTGTATTTTTGCAACGCCTGTTCAAATGAAACAACATTTGTCTTTCAACAGAGTGCCTTTTGAGATAATTATCATTGACGATGGCTCACCGGACGGCACCCAAGAGGTGGCAAAAAAATTACAGAACCTCTACGGAGAGGATAAGATACTCCTGAGGCCGAGGGAACGAAAGCTCGGGCTTGGAACAGCCTACATTCACGGAATTAAACATGCGTCTGGAAATTTCGTCATCATCATGGATGCAGATCTCTCTCATCACGTAAATAATCCTCACATAATTGGCAAGTGATCGCTGAGAGTAATCTCGTTTAAACATTGTTGTGTGATAATTTGCAGCCTCAATTCATCCCGAAAATGATCGAAACCCAACGTCAGGGGAATTACGACATCGTCACTGGGACGAGATACAGCGGTGATGGAGGCGTTCATGGCTGGGATTTCAAGAGAAAACTCATCAGCAGAGGGGCTAATTTCGTGACACAGGTGCTTCTGAGGCCTGGGGTCAGTGATCTCACTGGAAGCTTTAGGTGAATTTCAAGTATTGATGGTTTAATCATACTAATCGATTCATTTATTTAGTAGTAGTCGTAGTAAATTGTTTGCATTATTGAATACATAATTTATAAATGCAGAGGTAAAAAGCGTGAGAAAGCATAACAGCGAAATATGAATTCATTATTAATTAATTATGAATTAATTTAAATCAATTTGTCCTGATGCCGAATCTTTTCTTCGTTAACGAATGAAGGCCTCTGAGTCTTAGTTGAGTAATTCATGAACAATGGGGGATACAGAGGAGATCGATTTGTTTCAGTTCACAATAAATAATGATACATTCGAAATTAAATGCAGCAGAAAGCAGTTATTATAAATTAAATGCTCAATTTTCTGTTTTTTGTGAATTGTAGAAATTGATGATTTCATTGATGATAATCTTTTAATTCACGTTGATGAATTCATTTTAATTAATTTTTGAGGATTTTTTGTCATTGTGACATCAAATTCAGCAGAAATCTCCAATTATTCCCGAATAATTGACTAGTATCTAATTTAGACGACAAAACTTTATTTTAACATCATTTGAATTCAAATTTTCCAAAGTAATTTATAAAAATTAGTGAAATTAAAAGCATTGCATTTATACACAAAAAAACAGAATTACTTTTCTCGTAAAAAATGTCATCCGAGCTAACAATTATTCACAAATATTCCAAGAACCTAAACTTTTGAATCCTTTATAAGTTAAATTGAGCATAAAATTTTAAGAATTGCATTCATACATTTGATTACATTTAATACACTTGATTTTCCCTCATTAAATGAGTACTTTTTCATATAAAAATTCGTCATCTATCATTTTTAAAAATGAATCCCTTTGTAAAATCCTCTCAAATTCACAAAACCAATTTCAACATGACACCAAAAAATTTTTAATCAATTCTCTTTTCCTGTAATTGTTCATACAGACTCTACAAGAAAGCTATCCTTCAGAAATTGATCGAGTCGTGTGTCTCAAAAGGCTACGTATTCCAAATGGAGATGATTGTTCGTGCAAGACAGTTTAATTACACAATTGGAGAAGTGCCCATCTCCTTCGTGGACAGAGTCTACGGGGAATCGAAGCTCGGTGGCTCAGAAATAATTCAGTTTGTGAAGGGACTACTCTACCTATTCGCCACCACTTAGACCAACTCGACTGACATTCAAAGGCTACGTTTGTACATAAATATCCAGCAATTTGTACTGAATAAATAACCATAACCAAATTACTTGGGTGATGATTACTCCCTTGATGCCACGTGCATCATTCCACGTGTTATTCAGAGTAACGATTTTTCCTCGTTCTTTCGCTACCCTTCGCCGCACCCCACTGACGTCACGCAGCCTCCACTTATTGATCCGATGAGCACTGCAGTTGATATTTTGACACAGAATTCAACTGCCTCGTTGTGCACAAATGATAGACAATTATTAATCCGTTGGTGGAAATGCGAAGGGTGTGTGGTTCTCGGAATTGCACGGTTGGGTTTAATGTTTGATGAACATCTATTTTCATCGATGAGATATTGCAATCAATTTGATAATGGAATATTTAATGACTTTTTTCAATTGATTATGCCTAATTTAGTCTGACTGTTCTTGTTATTTTCTACTGATTTCTCTCATTTTATGAGTTTGAGGAAACGATGAGATAAATTAATTAAATCAGGTCATGAATGTTGATTTTAATTAGAAAGCAGTGAGAAATGAATTCTTAACTATTTTTGTCAATGAATGAGGAGTGATTTAGCCTGATTCTTTGCGTTATTTTCCACTGATTTTCCTCATTTTATGAATTCGTCGAAATGATTAGATGAATTAATTAAAACAAGTCATGAATCTTGTTTTTAATTAGAGTTTAATAGTCAATGAATTTTCAATATATTATTTTTATTGATTAATAAAGATTGATTTAGTTCGATTGTTCTTGTTGTTTTCCACTGATTTCCCTCCTTTTATTTATTTGACGAAAAGATCAAATTAATTGTTCAACAGAAGTTGTAAAAATTGCTTCTCATTAGGGTACAATAACTAATGAATTTCTAATGACTTTTACCGATTGAAAAGGTTTACTTCGTCTGTCTTTTGTGGTTATTTTCTACTGATTTCTCCTATTTTATTCATTTCATAAAATGAATTAACGCTAGTCGTAAACATTCCTTGTAATTGCAATACATTAAACAATTAATTAGTAAAAACGAATCATGAATAGTTCAATTTAGGATAAATATCTTTGAATCTGAGAAACAGAAATTTCTAGAGAATCCATGAAATTTTTTTCTGCCATGAACACGATAATTCAAATTTTCTTAAGTATTTAAGATATACGATTCTTTCAATAATTAAATGAACACAAATTTGACATTGTTGAAGATTTAAACTTTTTACTTGCAATTTCAAGACAATTTTTATTACACCATAGTGATTTCTCTATTTTTTATGCTATTGTTGACAATAGGGGAGGTTGGGGTAAAACGGACACTTTGGATTTTTTTTTTAATGTTAACGAGGGGTTGAAATGGTGATAAAACTCAATAATTTTTTTTCAATATAAAGAACAATCCTTCCCCTTTGTGACGACCCTAAACTGAGCTCAATTGATAAATTTGTTTCTGAGTTATGAATAATTTTTAAAAAGTCTGAAGTGTCCATTTTACCCCACCCTCCCCTACTGCGATATTAATGTTGAATCAAAGACTTCAATTTCCTCTGTTCAATTCAATTTCAATTCCCATCAGGATTCTTATTTTTCATACGTCAATCTCAGTGCAATTCTTCTTTAAATATGTCTATTTACGTATGAACATTATGTGCCTTCTCAAGTTCCCGACAATACCAAGTAATTTCTAAATTCATCACCTCAAAAACTTTGAAAAAGTCCTTCAGCCTTCGCAATGACTTTGCACCTAAAAATAATTCAGTAGTTGTTCTCCCATTACCATTAAAACAAATCATTGCACCAGCAATTCTCGAATTTAAGAAACCAACAGTGCCTTAAACAAAAATAAAAAAGGCTCTCATGCCAATGCGAGATAAATGTCTCCCGAAAATCGCAAAGTATGCATGCATTCTCATCGGGGGAAGCACCAATGCCGTTCGACGTCGCGAGGCAGTTGTGGCGCAAGCTTCGCCGCGCTCACACGTATCTCGCGCGCGTGTCTGTTCTCGAGGGTTGGCCGAGGTCCACAGGGTTGTGAAACGCATATTTCACTGAATAAAAAATCCACCTATCGAGCCCGGAAGATGTCTGTGCCTTCTCACCCCAATAAAACGTCAAATTACACGTGCCTCGGCCCCCGAAAAATGTGAGAGTCTTGTCTTCCCGAATTAATTGCCTCTAAGAGTCATCGAAATGCCGAAGAAAATTGGGTTTAACATTGTGTACGCAACGAGTGAGTGCAGACTATTTTCATCGATATTTTCGGATGCTTAACCTTGATTTCACACAGGTGAGGAGGAGCGGCACTCGTCATTGGAGTTGAATATTCACGGACCGACGGTGAGGGGCTGGCAGAGTGCGAGAAAATGTGGATATCCACAGGAGCTCATTCTCAGGCTCCACAGACCGGCGAAACTAACGAGAATTCAAGTACTAGCTCATCAGTACCTCATTCGTAAGTGGTACATTATTTCCAGTTAGGTTAACAAGTTCTTTCCATTCGATTGTTGCTCACTCACATGCTCTATTTCCGGGGGCTGCTAAATTGCACGGTTGGAGAATTTAATTTTCACAATTTTCACGCATCTCATTGAGTATTCAAGAATATAGACGGATTTTTCGATAATAATATGGACAGAATTTCATGGAAATTTGATGTTATCAAAAATTTAAAGATTTTTCATTTGAAATTTCAAGAGTAGTTTTTATAACTTTTGAATGATTTCTTTTTTCGAGAGAATGTGGAAAAAAAAAATTTATGTGCAAAATTCATTGAATGAATTTTAAAATTCCACGGTTTAAAATTTAATTTTTACAATTTTCACAAATTCCATTAAGTATTCAAGAATATAGACGGCTTTTTCAATAGTAAAATGTATTGTTAAAAATTTAGAAATTTTTCACTTGAAATTTTAAGACTAGCTTTCAAAACATTTTAAACCTCTTTTTATGTTTTATTCTGTTATTGAAAAGTATTGCAATATTAAAGTTCTATCAACAACTGCAACTTCCGTTTTTCATTTCAACTTCAATCAATATTTTCATTTTTGAGAAATCAATTTCCTTCGAATCCTTCACGCAATCTGTGTATATAAGTATAAATAAATTCAATAAATAAGATATAAGTAGAGTGAACAAATGCCAGTTGAGTCGTCCGAGAAAAATAGTTAACAAGTTCTTCCTAGCCGATTGTTGCTCACTCACATGCTCTATTTCCGGATGCTATCAAATTCCACGGTTTGAGGATTTAATGATCCTGTCTTTATTCAGGGGAGTGAGGGACCTTGGACTGAATTATTCCGACAATCACGCGAGCATAAAGTTTTCTCATTAAGGATGTACAAGTGGAACGGTTGATGTTGGAGATGGGTTCTACTTCCGGAAAACTGGGCATTGAGTTTTGTTTTTATGTGACAGGAGACACATTTCGATTCAGTGGGATTCATAGTGTTTTGGTGCATCGATTTAATAGATATGAATTGTTAGTCTGAAGTGGGGGGGCTCCGTTCATACTTCCACGACTGTGCATATCCCCGACTGTGCATAGACTTGTGAAAAGTCTAAGGGAACAACTGTACATAAATTCAACTGCACATAAAAAAACTGTCCATTGGCACCGCTAATTACCGATGGCGGCGCTCATTTTCACCAATACGAGACCCAAGAGACCCGAGGGACCCGAGTTTGTAGCAGAGATGTCAGACAAGATATGAATGTTTTTTTGAAAGAGCGGGTCGAGAAATGTCGTGCTAGGACCTCTAAAGATGGTTTTGAACCAGGGGAGACTCCAAGACCCCAATGTTCTATACATACTCCTAGACCCCATTGTCCTCCTAGACAATGATGTCACAACTCTCTGTTCAATTGAAAGCAGACATCATCTTTAGAGACATTTGTCATGTTTAGAGGCTCTGGCACGTCATTTCTCAACCCGCTCTTTCATTTGAGCCAAAAAAAACATTCATATCTTGTCTGACATCGCTGCTACAAACTCTGGTCATCAACTCTGGTTTTCAGGCGAAATTGGAATTGTTAATTTACACAATAATAGGAGTGCATTGACGATTTTTTCTTAACTCGCAAAAATCTTCAAACAATTTGCTACCGATTGGTGATAAAATTTTTTGGAAATAATGAAGTAGGGGGGATAACGCCTTTTTTTTCAGGGGTGATTTTTCAAAAATTTATTTTTAAAAAAGTCCTAACTAGAAAATGTTTTTTATTAGCTCGCAATTTTTTTCAAAACTACTTCAATGAGGAAAAAAATAAAAATTTGGAATATCTATACATGAGGG